TCTTGAATGGTGCCAAAAATTATGCTCCAAACAAACAACAACAAACCCACACACAATACAGGTCCCCCCTCTGATCCAGGTAGCTTATTCAGGAAGAATGCCCATGACTAAATATCATCTTTATATTTTAAAAAGAGAATTTCCTGTCCTGATATCTGGGATACAAAGGACTGTTCTCTTTTCCCTTTGAGGGATACAGAGTTCTAAAGAAATAATGTTTACTTAAACTTGCATTTCTCTTCCTTTTTTCAAACTTTGTGGGGATTTCCCTATTGTTTTCTCCTTTGATCCCCTTTTTATGTGCTCCCTTTTCTCACCTCCAGATAATCTTGCCTGTGAACCAATTCAGTAGCAATTTACAAATCTGTGTCTATTTCAGTTAAAAAACTCACCTGCCTCCTTAGACCTTATTGTGGATGGTTCATCTCCTCAGCTGAAAACCCACTGGACTAGAACAGATTAATAAATTCTTTCCACTGGACCCTCTAACACCTCTGTCCTTGGTCTTTAGGGAACCCTGTCCTGTACCTCTGATCTAATCTTCAACCAGAAACCAGGTTTTCATACCCAGACCATGTTTAAATTTGGCACACTTTCTGCATAACATCTCCAAAGCACAGATTCATCCAACCATTTCTCTGTACTTCACAATTCAATTTCTGCAGGTAAAGACAATCTTCTCTTGCTTCATTTCAACCTGATCACAACTAAAAGGGTCCTTTTCCAGTTATTTTCACTGCTTTTGCAGCCATTCACTATTTCTGCTATTTCTTTAACCAAAAAGCCAAAAAAGAAGTGTTTGGTTCAGTTCTAAACTGTAACTGAAGTCACCCCCATTCACTTTCAGCTGAGGCTAAAATAATTATATGATTAAGATGCATAATGATTCAGTGCCACCACCATTCAGAGTCATCATAAGAAGCTGCAGGGTCTGCTGAACAACACATCACAGTGCACAAATACTCAAGCCAAACACATGATGAGCCCTACAGTGAGAGAAAATCTGTCTCTCCCTAAACTCCCAAGGAAAATGGTATTACAAGCAGTAAGTAATACAGGAGAGCAACATACGAAACTGAGCCTTTATTTATCTATTTAAATACTTAAAGCAGTTCACTCTGCTAGTCTGAAGAAGTTAAGACAGAGAGGAAGATTATTATTAGGACGCTCTACCATTTTTTGCCTTAGTGCTGCACTAATATAAAACGGTATTGCAGGACAGAAATAGAGGAACTTTTAGTAGAGGTCCTGCAAGCCATCAGATTAACTATTATATATTTCAAGTAACACCTGAAACTGTGAGGAAGAGTCATGTACTGTAGAAGATACACACTGCTACCCAGTATATTACCAAATATCCACAGTTTTAGTTACCTGTGCAATTGAAAAACTGAGACCAATTGTTTTCCCACTCTTTAGGAGATCCTGTAGTCTTCTACTATGGATAACATTGTCTAGGTATGTCCAGAGTTTCTCAACAACTTCATCGTCCAGTTCCAGTTTTTTGTTGTAATTTGAAACCAATGTATGGCTTACCCAATCGAGTAATACCTGTTAACAGAAGGGAAGTAACCTTTAATAACCCCCATACAAAACCAAAAGTAGTACCTTTTCACAGCTACAGTGTTTGTGTCTTTGAGAACTGTGCTACTTCCAAGCAGTACAGGCTCTGAACGAGCAGAGAAGTCTACCCCTGTAGCTTTCAATTCCTGAGAGCTTTCATTCTAAACCTAATGTTGATCCTGTGCTCCCCTGCACCACTCCAAAACAACTTTCAGGAGTCAACATCCTACGGTCCTTTCATCAGGGCATAATTCTGACAAGTGATACCAGTTAGCAAGCAAGTCTTTTCAATCAAAGCTTAGAGAATCAGACGGTTTTCACTTCCTGACAATTGCTATTCTGTTCACATCCTCCTCTTCATATGTCTGAATTCACCATCTAGAAATTCAGGCCCAGGAATTTAGATGTGTGCAAACTGGAAAAGGTTGAAACCTACTAATTTAAATTACTGACTTAAAAACAAAAGGATAGTATGTGGCTAGGTTTAACACTCTATGTAACTGAAATAACAAGAACCCAAAACGCAGGTCTCAGACAGTGCAAACCCTAGACCCCACAATACTACCAGGGCTGGAGGAGCAGGACAAGATATCCTTCACTTGAGGAAACACAGCACAGACCTTCAGTAAACAGAGTCAAAACAAAGGCTTAAGGGGACAGGGTGGGTTCCATGAAGAGAACACCAAATTACCTTACAAGGTGAACCCCAAGAATCCACTGCGTGCTCTTTGCTCACGCACATGTTCAGAGCACCAGAGACCACACATCTAACTACAGTCAGTTCTCCCACTCTGAACTTCTTGTTCTTAACTATGATCAGAAGCATCTGACTTTGGAGTGTCCTGTACTGGATGTAATAACCAGTGGCAATGACAGTTCTGAAGACATCGATTTCTCATCTTTCCGGGAGACAGAACACACAGACCACCCTCTCTATGCGAAAGCCTCTTTCATCCTGCACTAATGCAGGTCTTTTTGCTGAGGCTACTTGAAAGATGATGTTATAAAACACATTTCATATAACCACAGAGAAATCAAGAGCTGCCACAATCACAAATCAGAGCTATATTTGCACTACTGTCTATGGTCAAAAGCTAGATCTGGGTTTTATGAATTGATTCGCTATCGGGGTTTTCTTCTTTCACTGTCTACCATTAAAAAGTACTCACTTGCTCCTTATTAGGCAGGAAGCACTGGTGAGAAATCCACGCGAAACGAGCCAGCTTGAGTTTGTCTTCCCAAGAAGTCTTGGAGCTTTTCAGCTTCAAGTAAATCCCGGAATAGATCGCGGCCATGGCGGGGGCACGTGGGACAGGCAGACAGACAGACACACCACTGGAAGAAACGCGGACCCAGGAGAGGCGGTAAGGCGGGCAGAGGCGGCCCCGCACCCCGGCACCCACCCACGCACCCACACACGTGGCGCCGCTCGGGGCCCAGCCGCCGCCACAACCACCAGCCCGCCGCCCGCCCCGGCTCCCCAGCGCCCGCTTCACCGGCACCAGCCCCCCCGTGGCACTCGCCTTTCCCTCCCCTCGCAGGGCCCTCGCTGGCCGCTCCGCGCCCTCCCGGTCCGGCCAATCCGTCCCGCCGCCTCCCGGTCCCGCCAAGCCGCGCCAGCCGAGCGCCGAGCGCGGGAGGCGGCGCTGGGGGAACTCGCGCCCATTGGCGGCCCGAGGGCGCCTGCGCGGCCCCGGCCCCGCTCCCGCCCGCCCCGGCGTGTGTCAGCCGGGCCATGGAGCGGCCGCCGCCGCCCGCCGGGCCCCGGGCAGCACCGGCCGCGCCACCGGCACCGGCCCGCAGGGGATGCGGCAGCGGCGGCGCGCCCATCGGCAGCGCCTGGCGCCGCTGGGCGCAGTGACAGCGCCCTCCCGGCCGCGCCGGCCCCCGCCTCCCTCCCGCCGCCTCCCGCCGCCTGCGATGCTCAGTGAGTGGGGACCGGCCCGAGGCCGCGGCCCGGGGCCCGCGCGGGGGGTCGCGGGAGGCGGTGCCGGCGGCGGGAGCGGGGCCCGGGCGTCCCGCGGCCGCCTCGTGGCGGAGGCCCCGCAGGCCCGGCCCGGCCCGGCCGGCGGCTCCCGGGAAGCCGACGGGGGCACCCCGGGCACGGGCGCGGCCCTGGGGGCAGCCCCGGGTGCTGACGGGGCCGGGCGCCTGCCCTGCGCCCGGAGGTCGCTGGGGGGGCTCTGTTCCTCATGCTCTTCTTTCCCTTGGAAAGTGCGTGGGTTTAATGAGCAGCTTCTTATCGCGCCGTCTCTCTTCCCTTTTCTTTTTTTTCCTCTTTTTTTTTTTTTTTTTTTTTTTTTCATCCTGACAGGGGAAGGCTTTCACTTTTCGCGTCCCTCCAGCGAGCGCACTTCGGCCGGCAGAGCAGCCCCGGGACGGGCGAGGGGCCCGGCAGGCTCCCGGCCCTGGTGTCCGCCCGCGGGGCCCACATGTCCGGCAGCTCCGCTCGGCCGGGGAAGGGCTGGGTGGTGGAGCTGAGCCCAAGGTGGTGTGAAGTGGGCTGGAGTAAAGCGCCCTGCCCAGGTCGCGCAGAGGAGATCGGACCGGTGAAGCCAGGCGTTCTTTGGCACCGTCTTTGAAGCGGGGGGAAAATAGTGGAATGGGCAAAGCTAAATTCATGGACGGCGAGCTACATCTACGTCTAAATGCAAATGGATTCTTCTAAAATCACAGCTATTCCTTCTCTGCCTCTTCACGAGTGCCACTGCTCAGGCAAAAGCTTTCTCCGTAGTTCCTGCTATCCTGTTTTCCTATTTTGCACCATTCCTATGCTGTGTCTCCAAATTAACTTGTCATGTTTACTTGCCCGTTTTTTCTGAATTGCAGCCACTGCATGTGCGACATCCCTTGGCTCTAAGTTTGTGGTTATCTTCGTATTAGTTTATCCTTATCCTGTTTACGCTGAAAATTTTGTAAATCTCAGATTACCCTAATGTCACAAAGTTAAAAATTTGGAGTTAGTATTGTTGGTAGGCCCCAAATTTCACCTGTAGCAATAAAGGATAAAAGATTGTACTTCTCCATCCACAACTGAGGCCTGAGACACAGTTCTCATTGGAGAATATTCAAAAGCTGCTTCTGTTGTTTTATTTTTTATTGTTTGGGTTTTGATGGGGGTTTTTGTGGCTTTTTTTGTTGTTTTTTTTTTTAAGATTGCTTGTCCTTGGCGCTCTGCTCACAGGTCTTTCCACAGTCTGTTGGAAGAAAGACACTGCTGTCCCAAACTCACAACAGGAATACAGAGTCTTTAAAAGCGGCATTTCGAATGCTATTTTTCGAGCTCTTTTTGTAGAGTCCGTACTGGGATTTTTCCAAGGCCATGGAATCTGCCTAAACGTGTACCTGAAATGTAGCATAGGCAGGAAATTAATTTCCTTGGCCCGATGTTTAGTTCATTCCCAGCTTTTTTAGGAAGGGGGAACTTGTGATGTGTTTTCAAAGTCACAATGTGATCTTTCCTCTCTTTCCTTGTGTATTTTGCTTATCAGTAAAAACAGTTAATGTGATTAGTATTTGTTGTTCTCTCTGGCTGTTTGAGAGAAATGAGGCAGCTGAGATTTTCGAACAATTGTTTCAAGCTTTCTGCATTTCATGGACACGGAACTATACACTTGCGGTTTTCATGTGCTTTTCATATTTTGGAGATTATCTTCAGTGATGAGAGGAAGAGTCTTAAAATTGATGGGAAGTTAAAACAGCAGGCTTGTCCTTTTATGCCTATAAATTCTGCATCATTGACCTGTTGTGAATTGGCTCAGCTTGAACCCAGCTGAAGGCATTTTGGCAAGCCGTGCATATATTTACTTCATGATATATTCTACTTTTGATGAAGGGCTTGATAAAGAATATTTGCAGGACTGTTGATTTTGCTCTTGCACTTTTCATTAATACTTTTTCTGCTTGGGTGACATTGTTCTTTGTAATGCTGAGGGTGCGGTATAAAGGCAAAGTGAATGAAGAAGCCAAGACTGAAATTAAACTAGAGGTGATAGTGTGTCTGATGCCAACGGGTGTTTCTTGGTGAAGATGCATTTCTTGTAAAGTAGTTCCTGTGCTATCATCTGAGAATAGGGAAAGAGATCTCTATGAGATACTGCTGGTAACATGCACTACTGTGACTGCAGGGCAAGAAACTATGCAGATTGCATAAATCAGCAGCAAACACCACCTTGCTAGTCTTGACTGAGGAAACTGGGGCTTCCCTGTTTTTCCCAAAGCTCCAAAGAAGCTTGGATTTGAATCAGCTGCCAGCAGCTGCTCCTTTCCCAGGCTCTTCTCTGTTGCTGCTAAAATATCTGATCCTGATGTTAGAATTTGATACTACTGGGTAACCTACTGCTTTTTTACCTATCATTTTAAAATTTACCATTTTCTCTGTTGGTCATTGCTCGTTCAGCAGCTTGAAAATGCTGATCATGGTGCTCTTCTTTTGTCACTGTCATTTCAAAGGGTCTCCTGGAGTTCTGCATCTTTCACCAGTTTTTGGTTTCTCCAATCCATTACGAGTTTGGGGTATCATCTGTACATGTATGCTGTGCCATAATGAATAAGGGTTTTCTTACCAAATCTAACCTAGTGTAAATCGATCCTGTAACTGAAGCAAAAACAGTATAGGCAAGGGTATTTCTAAATGCTCCCTCTTTGCTTTTGAATCACTGGCCTGAGGCTATTTGCACAGTTCTGACTGGCCAAAACTGCTTCAGAAACATTAAGTTGATTCTGTCCTGTGCCATTTTCCTTTGGATTATAAGATAAATACGACAATCTAGATGCAAACTTTCCAAAACAGTTTCTAGACCTAAAATAAACATTTAGGAGAGCATCTCAAATACAATTAAGTTGCTACCCAATTCTAAACTGAATGCCAGAGTGCATGTGGAGGCATTTACTTGCACCTGGGCAAGTAATTTGCACGTGAGTCCGTGCTGCTGGCTGAAATGCAGGATGGTAACATAATACATTGTGAACTTTAGTTAAGAGTGGGTTTAGATGGTCCATCCTTGTCTCCATCTTTCTTCATGGCCTTCATTAGAATTCTGTCTTTGCCACAGTTTTGTGCAGCAGAAAAGGTGTTATATTTGAGACAGTGTAAGTCTCAGATATAATTTCTTTAATTTCAGGGAAGATGAAAAGGAAATTTATTTTTGGAGTGGAAAAAGGTGTGGTTGAAACTATTTTATTGGGTCTATCTGGAAATGCTTTGAAAACTCCACACTTGTTGATGACTCCGCCCTCAACAGTTACTTAACCTGTGAGAACAAATGGGAACCTTTTTAAGGTTTTCACCAAAGCATATGGGCTTGCAATTCCATGTATCTGTTGGAAGTAACTTTTGCTGAAACCTTGCATCCCCATCCACTTGGAATTAACTTCACAGAAGGCTTATTGTTCTAACAACTGGGATAAGCACTAAAGTGTGCATGAGTATTAGCAAAGCCTCATTTATGATCATATTTTTAAAGCTGTCCTTTGTTAGGAATATGGTTCTTACAAGGAGGGAAGGGCATCTTTGTCTATCTCTCTCAAAAGGCTGTGTTTCATCAGATTTAGCTGCCTAAACCAGAAAGCATGTGCACTTGTGAAACACATGCAAGTCATTGGTAGCAAGACTGTAAGTTGAACTCTCTCAAGGCAGGCTTTACCTAGTATTGTGACAGAAAAAAATCCCTGTTGCTTAGTTCTGCTTTATTTGAAGCCTTTTAGGTTATCTAAACTTCTGTGTAAAATCGATGGCTATTGTGAAGGAGTGGTGGCAGTCAGGGACTACTCAAATGGCAAGGGAGCTATTGCATTCATCTTACTGAGGTTCCTTTATTACAAGCCAGGGGCTAAAAGCCAGCAGTGAACTCCTTTTGCTTTTGAGATACTAAAAGTGGTGTTTGTGAGGATGGCTTTCAAAATGTATATATAAGATAAACCTTCAAAAGATTCTTTTTTCTTTTTGACCTTTGTAGGAGGTAAGCCTTGATAGATGGAGCCAGGTGACAAAGGCAGAAGGTTCTGCTTTTGTTGTTATTTCCCTGGGTTTTTTTGGGGGGACTTAACCTGAGCAAAGTGCCAAAAGTCTGGCTCTAACCTTTAAGTTCAGATGATAAGCTATTGCTTCCTGAACTACACAAATAGGTTTGGTATTAAAAGCCAATCATATTTATGTTTATGAAATTTCCTTCTTTGTATGTTAATTTCTCATTCTCCTCTGTCTTCTGGAGTTGTTTTGTTGATTGGTCAAGCAAAAGAACCAGAAAATGATTGAAGAATACTTAAACTGCTACTATAAAAACATGAGGGGGAAAAACATTCCCTTTTTATGAGCTATTTTTAACAAAAACAAATGCTTCAGCTCACCACTGCAGTTTTAGTCCAGAATCCTGGTTTTGATTCCTCAGTGAAATTAGCAGAATTAGGCAGCAAAACATCTTCAGGGATCTGATACAAAGTCTCTAGGTACGCCTTAGTACTGAGAGGCAAATGCCCTAAGGTTCTGTTTCATACTTCAGTAATGAAGTTGTTTGACTTCAGAAATGAAAATACTGAGCTGTTTGTTTTCTGTCAGTATTAACACAACTGTGGTGTAAGTTGATCTTAGCTTATGCTTGCACAGTAAGAGCCTCATCGTCTCTTCCTTTTCTTTTGAGGTCATGAAACGCGTACGCACAGAACAGATTCAGATGGCAGTGTCCTGCTACCTCAAGCGCCGTCAGTATGTGGACTCAGAAGGTCCCCTAAAACAAGGGCTGAGGCTGTGTCAGACTGCTGAAGAGATGGCAGCTAATCTCACAGGTAATTCTGTCAAATCTTCCATGGGTACTTGACAGAGTTGTATGTATATTGGCAACTGTGTGAATTTGTCTGCACATATGGACAGCTCTCCTTTTGAAATAAAGAAATTTCTCAGTGTGAAGTTGGCCTGAGTTATGAACTTTTGAATAATGAAAATGTGGATGAAAGTGTAACAAGGTGACATTCATAGTCAGCGAAAGAGCAGGCTGAAATACCAGGTTAGGGTAGTGGAAAATACACATGTTGTATCCCAAAGAACATGAAGTCTGGTGAGTAGTGCTGCTTTGGGACAGAGGTGAGAAGAACCTAGATGAAGAATTAAGTAGAAGCAGGAAAATCTGTTGTACCTTTGTTATATCATGTGAAGTGGAAGACATAAGGCTGTGTCTTTTTCTGGACTAGTCAGCTTTGTAGTGGTGAAAGCACTACTCTGTCACTTGGGGTAAAAAAATCTAAAACCTTCAGTGGAGAGACAGTTTATTTCCCTGCATACCCTTTCTCCTCTTTCTTAAAGGCTTTTGAATCCTGCCACACTACCTGCTTTTCAAATTGTGTCTGTGACAGTCTGTGTTGTAGTTATTATTTTTGTTACAAGAAATTCTGCTGCTTGAGCACATACAAGTACCAGAAGGATGCAAGCAATGCGGAGGTTATAGAAATTAAATTTACTAGTAAAAGTAATAGAAAATGCTGGGATAACCTTTGAGTGAAAATGTTTTCTGTTAATGAAACTGCTTAGATTGTGACAGTATCCTAGGCTAAACAGAGTGGTAGAGACCTTAGTTACTTGTGGTACAACTTGTTTTGACAAAACATAAGTTGCTGTATAGCTCTCTTCTTGTGGCTACGTAAGATTGGATGCCAAAATAGCTTTTCCCACCTCTAGACTATTTTACCATAGTTAACAATCCAAAGATAAGTGACTTGTGGGTAAATGTTCAGGCTGACTCTCTCAGGGGTCTGAAGGAAATTTGGTAGTATTTCCTTATTTAGAAGTGACTTAGGTCTTACTAATACTTTTCATTTCCTCAGTGTAACGATCAGAAGTTTGTTGCAACTCCGTGAAAAAGTACTGGGGGAAATGGGGAAGGAATGAAACCAAAGTAAAATGCTGAATTGTTTTTTTAGTAGGAGATTTTATGTGAGAAGTGGGTAGAAAGGTTAGTGTTGAAATGGGCTTAGAATGTGATACCAACCATACCAGGTGGCATCATGCAGAAAAAAAGTTTCCATAAAGAGTGAATGAGTGTGTGTTTGGGTTTTGTCTTTTTACTATCTTCCACCAAATGTTATTACTAGATTTCATATTAGTCGGTATCCTCTAGCCAGGGTGCGGGTTTTGTGGATGGTGATTCAGAATTTAGTCATCAGTTTTCAATAGAACTGAAAATGGTCTGCTCTCATGTATTCAGCTGCTTACTACTTCTTGTCAAACATGCTCATAATTAGCTGTCAGCGAGCATGCTGCAGTTCCATGAATGACTGTTGAAAAAGCAAAACCCAGCTTCTTATTCTGACAACAGAGGCTGAAAATACTTTTTGCTGCAGTCATCTTAGTTTTGCAAACTGACTAAAAACTGAGCAGACTGTAAAGCCTGCATTGCTTTATTTTGGGGAGAGCGATCAAATATGTTTTTCTGAAAATGTTTTTGGTTTTTCCATAAGAAAACTCACCTTGCTTTTTGTGTTCAGGTCTTTTGTTTGACTTTTAAATTAACTAGCCTGTGTAAATGGGAGAGTTGCTTACTTCAGGCTTCAGTTCTGTGATTTCTCTTTCACAGTGTAAGGTGTCCTCAGATTTGGAAGTAGCTTTGTTTTTCAATTTTACTTCCACATTTCTTCCACAGTCTCTTCAGTTCAGCCCTTCTTCAGTTCGTCATATGTTTGCTATATCTGTACAGCTGTTTTCACAGAATCACAGAGCAGCCCAGGTTGGAAGGAACCTCAGAAGATCATCTGGCCCAAGTTTTTTTGTGGGAGAGGTAGCCCAGAAGAGATTATCTAGGACCCTCCCCAATCACATCTGCAGCACAGAGCTTCCTTGTGACTATCCTATATTTCTGTAGAAAAGTAGAATAATATTTGAGGACAGAATGAGTGACCAAGGAACAGGTTCCTCTAATATTGCCCATAGGACTGTCTGAAATAATATAAAGTTATACATCATCACACTCACTCAAAAGACGAATCAGTTGCTGTTCAACTGCATTTACAGTAGCCACACATTTGTTAGCTGAAAGCAAATCTGGTAGCAAACACACAAAACCAGGAGGGTACTGTCTGTATCCCTGAGTTAGGAGTGAGTTCCTTTCAATCTGCTATCAGGTCACATAGCTGGCTCCACTTACTGGAAGTGAAGGAGCAGATGTTTCCAATAGATGTTCCTGTGACCACTGGAGAAGATGAAAAAGAAGCTATGGTAGGTTTATTAATGTATGAGAAGGATATAGCCAGTGTTTTATTTCTACCAGGAAGAAAATATGCTTGAAATTTTACTCTTGTTTTGGAATCAATTGAGCTCTTGATCCTTTTTGCAATTCTGGTTGGTGCAAAGTTTTGGTAAGGCAAAGACTTGGACTATAACTTGTTACAGCTGTCTGGTATGTAGGGCTTCATTTACCATTTGCTGGATGGAAATGAGCTCTAGCATTGTTACTGAAAGAATAGGGCATAATGATTGTCCAGTCAGACTATTTCAGGATAGGTAGCCAAAGATGATATTTCACTTTCTGAAGCATCAAGTACACCTTCATTTTGGAATTAAGTTGCTTATGCAGAGAAAGTTGTGGCATGGAGGGAACACTTCATAAAGCCAAGGCCAATGAATTGTGCTTTCATGGAGTGAGCAAGGTGTCAAGTCATTCCCATTCCTGCTGAAATGAGACCACCAGAACTCTGAGGAGTTGACCCTTGTATATAATCCTGTGACACAGCATAAGAGACAGGCTGTCATATTTCTGTTTTTCTTTGCTTTTATAGTGAATAGTATGAGTGAAATTGAAAATTGACACTAAGCATTCTTGAGTTACTACATGTGCATGCCGTTTACTTTTTCATGCTGAATATTGATTATATTAAATTTTAAGTCCAAATAGCAGAGCTTTTTACTTTAGCTGTTAAGTACTACAAATACGTGAGGCTGGAGTTCTTACCAACTTTGAGTTTCAGAAGCAGACAGGCTGTAGAAAGCTCAGTGTAGCTGTATCTTTCAGCAAGTTATATTTATTTATTTCCAAACTAATTTAAGATACAGTAGGGCATTGGTGCTGGAATCTGTTTGGGGTTTTTTCCCAAGAGGGAACGATGAGCGCAGCCCAGCTCTCTGTTTCAAAAGCTGAACTGGGCTTGCCCTTGAGAGTTGGTAAACACACCTCCTATATTTACATAAGCTGAAGGAAGATAGACCTGTGTCTTACCAGAGAGAGAGGGGGAAGAGAATAGCAACAGGCTGCCCATGTATACCGTGTGCTGATCTCTTTCTAATTAGAAGCATTGAGATGAGCTGGAGGCTGGCCTATCTCTCTTTAGCATGTGAACATTTGATTATGTTGTTTATAGACTTCCAGGGATGTCAGAGCTGTGCCTGTGTGCATGAGCCAAATGCTGGAACAAAAAAAAACCCCAGTCACTCAGAAGTAGAAAGACAAAGAGAGAGGATGGAAAGTGGTGCAGGCCAGGGGAAACTGAAAGAAATTGAAGTGAAAGTAATAAAAATAGCTTGTGGAGCGAAAAATAGTTATGAATTGAAAAAAAAAATATGAAAGGAAAATAGTGAAACTGCTTACCCTCTTGTGCTCTAGAAGGGAGGAACTTGTGTTTCTAATCACCGGTATTTCCATATGCTTGGGGTATGTTCGTGCATGTCTGTAGACTTGCACAAAGTCCCCTGTTGGATTCCAGGCAGTTAGCAGAACGGCAAAGGTTTACTGCCAGAGAAGGAGAAGCCAATTCCATTTCTAAATAGTTCAGAACCACTTTTACCAGGGTCAGTACTGGTTCGGAAAAACAGTTTAGCACCATCTCAGGAGACCATACCAACCAGCTACCCTTTAACCTAAAATCCTCAGGGAGGAGGGCACATTTTTATTAAAAACTACTAAGTGTTTGCTTAAAAATTCAGTGCATTTTTACCACCATATCCATGAGACTTAGTAAATTATACTGATTATAATTTGTTGTAAACTATAATGACTGGGACAAGGAATTTGAGAATCTGAGGTAGTGTCACTGCAAACCTTCTGTTTAGGAGAGTTGGTGGGACCCACTGATTAAGAAACTATGTTTTGGAGAAACATAGATTGTAGATGGCTTTCCTCATCTTTTTTGAGTGCAAAGTAGTAAAACTACTGAGTTGTAAAACTGTTAAAGGATCTGTGATGGTGTTAGTCTGATTTTCATGGGAACTTAAGGTTGTATTTGAAAAGTTTAAAAGGTATTCTGGGTGGAGCACATGAGTTGCTGAGATTTTTGGGAGGTGGGGTTTAGCTTTCATTATACTTTCTCATTCATGATCTGTCTAGGTTGTTAATGCCACATTTAGATGCTTTGGACTATGTCCTACCTGGGTGGTTTCAAAGATGAAATGTCATCTGAGTGGCTGCGTATCTTGAATTTTATGAGAAGCTTTGTTTCCAGACACACATACAAAACTCCTTAAATCCCCATTTAATTTTTACTTATTTTATTTCACAGTCCAATCTGAGTCTGGTTGTGCCAACGTTGTGTCTGCAGCTCCCTGCCTGGCAGAGCCACAGCAATATGAAGTACAATTTGGACGATTACGCAATTTTCTCACAGGTAAATATCAGGAAGCAAGGAAGAGGACAATAGCTGACTTTTTTTTTTGTCATTTCAATGAGTAAAGCACAATATAATAAAATTCAAAATCATGTCTTTAACAATGTTCTGACTTCTAGTTTTGATATTTCAGTTACTAGAAATAGAAATATTTGATTTTTTCTTATTTGGACTGTTGTCTGTGTGCTGAGTAGCCTTGAATTTTGTAGATGTCTGCTCTTTCTTGTTCAAGCATTTGGCCTTTTAGATCTTCTAGACAACAGCATACATACACAGGACAAGAAGGAAGATTAGTGTTTTATGTGAAAGGCAGGTAACTTAGAAATGAGTGTAGTTCTCTGCTGTCTCCTCGTTTAGGAGTTTTAATTTTATCTATAATTAGCTTATTTTTATGGTGGTCTGGATTTTTAAGGGAGAATTTGTTCCCTTAAATTTGTACTGGCTTTGAGACTGGAGGGATATGACAAAGTAAAAAAATTCTCACTCTGTGGTGATGCCCAAAACAATAATAATTTTTTTTTATTATTATTCACTCTTTTTTTTGAAAATGTTCTCGTGGGAATCTCCTTATTCTTCTACCTAGTCTCCAATGTGGGAAGAAGAAAGTAGACAGAATTTTTAGAGAATAATACCAAGGAAAGTGAGGTTGTCACTCCTCCTGCCTTTGGGCACATCAACATTTGTCCAGTGTAGGGATTTGATCCCATTGTGCATAACATCAGGATTAATATTTCTGATAGTTGTTGAAGGGAAGAGAAGCACGCAGGCAGGAAGGCAGAGGCAGAAAATAATGAAGTCTTAGAGCCTTGCTGCCTGCAGCAGTTACACACCTTTGCACTTGAATATTTGAGGTAAATCCCTGTGGTTTAATAGATTTTTTGAGAAGTATGGTGGCTCTGTTCGGTCACTTAATTGCTTGAGGAAGTGTTAGGCATGGTTTTGGTGTTCAGGTTGGCTGTTTTCATCTTTTTTGTTGTCCCTCTTGCTCTGTTTTGATATCTAACATGTACGAGCTACTTCTTTCTTCATGGGAGTAACTTGCCAGCCTGCACCACCAGGCAGAGCAGGACACTTCCCATTTCTGTGATGCCTGCGCCACCGAGGAGTGGGCAGGGTCATTGAAGAACTAAACTAACTAGTCTCTAGTTCAACCAGCCGCTCAAAGAAGGGCAGGATGAGAGTTTGATCAGGTTGCTCAGAGCCTTTTCCAGTCGGGTTTAGAATATCAAAAGAAGGTACATATTGCTCTGCACCTCTGGGACCCGGCTGCAGGGCTGAGCAATTTGATGAGAATTTCCCTTGCAGCAGCTTGCCTAATGTCCTTCCACTGAGCACCTCCGAGGAGAGGCAGGCTCCTTTTCCTGTGTAGTGTCCCACTCTGTACTGAAGGCAGCAATTGGATACCCCCTTGGTCTTCTCCAGACTAGACAGACCCAGCTCCTGTAACATTTCTTCATATGTTCCTAGGGAATGTTTTTCTTCATTCCTTTTTCTGCCAACTTCCCATCTTTTCCCTTTTGTCCCCACTGCAGAATGAGGTCCTTCCTCTTGTTGCATTTTTGGACTAGTGCACCTAGAGAGAAAAGACCACCTGCTGGCTGCTTAGAGGTTTTACTACATCCAGACCACTGTTTTCACTGGCTTTGTCCCAGTTTCAGTGGGACAGGAAGGAGAATGATGCTTAAGTATACAAGCATGCCAGACCTACTCTATATTTGCTCATAGAAATGAGAGAGAGAGAGGCACAGTATGGACCAGAGAAAGTCTGGAAGAGTGCTTAGCACAGAGGAAAAATAACCTAATGGAAACGGGGGGGGAAAAAGGGTATGCACTGGTGAGCGGCAGGAGAGATGAAAAAGCTGAAAAGCAGCAATGCTTTTTCCATTTTAAGGATCGGCAATGCCTATTTGTTTTCCAGTAATTTGGACCATTTGGTCCTTTAGTAGTAACTCATTGCAGCCCTGTATGTTGCCATGGTGTTCTGCAGCAGGGCTCTGCTTCCTCACAGCTTCCTGTAGCTGGCAAACAGCCCCAAGAAGCTGGTGAAGGAAGGGTGGAGCTGTTGCACAGATCAGTCTCTGCAAGGTACAGCACAGCCTAATCGGGGGTTTGTTACGCTGTGTACTAGGAATTACTGCTGGGATTTGCCTTGGCAGAGAGAGAGAAAGCGTGTACATGGGCAGACACAGAAATAAAACAAGAGCATAGCGTATTGCAGTACATTTTGGAAACTAGCTTCTTTTCCCCTGGGGACAAATTAGTTCCATCCGAAGTACCACATGCAAGTTTTATTGAAGCTAAGAGAAAAAAAGCCAACAAAGCTGAGGCCTAAACAAGCTAGGTAAATAATTTTGACTTAAACACTTAAATACTATTTTAAATATAATGAATAAATTTTCCAGTTCCTTTATCGCAATAAACAAAGGGCATAGTTTTTCCTCTTAAATAAATGAGGGAAATTCAACTGTCATGTGTTTTATGAGGTGGTATATTATTAGGTATCCCACACCTAAAAAGAGTTATGAAATCTCTGAATTTTGTTCTGACAAGGTACCTCACTGACTTGACAGTCTCTATTGAGGTCTGTAATAGGTACTGTACCGCCTTTAGGTGACAGAAAAGGTTCACTTAGATGTGCCAACAAGTCTCCTTTTGCTTGCTCTCTGATGCCACTGTCAAGGCTTTCTCAGTAATCATCCTTGCTCTGTTTTATTCCCAGTAGAAAGAGGATTGAGAAATCATTCAAAGTTTGTTGCTGTTTTTTATACAGATTCAGATTCTCAGCACAGCCATGAAGTGATGCCTCTTCTATATCCCCTCTTCGTCTACCTCCATCTGAACATGGTCCAGAATGGCCTAAAAAGCACAGTGGACAGTTTTTACAGCCGCTTCCATGGCATGTTCTTGCAGAATGCCAGCCAGAAGGATATCATTGAACAGTTGCAGACTACCATGACTATTCAAGATATCCTGTCCAACTTGAAGCTCCGGGCTTTTCTGGACAACAAGTATGTCATCCGCCTTCAAGAGGACAGCTACAACTACCTTCTTCGCTACCTCCAAAGTGACAACAACAATGCCCTGTGCAAAGTTCTGACCTTGCACATTCATCTGGATGTGCAGCCTGCCAAGAGGACTGACTACCAACTCTATGCTGGTGGGAGCTCCTCGCGCAGTGAAAGCAACGGCCTGGAACCCAGCGATGTGCCAGCTTCCATTCTGCAGAATGAGGCAGCGCTGGATTTATTGCAGGACAGCATTAAACGTGTCAAGGACGGGCCCCCTTCCTTAACGACCATCTGCTTCTATGCCTTCTATAACACAGAGCAGTTGCTGAACACTGCAGAGATTTCACCAAACAGCAAGCTGCTCGCTGCTGGGTTCGATAACTCGTGTGTGAAGCTGTGGAGCCTGCGTTCCAGGAAGTTAAAATCTGAGCCCCACCTTGTTGATGTGTCCCGCATCCGTCTGGCTTGTGACATCCTGGATGAGGAGGTCTGGATGCCCTTTTCTTTTTCCCCTTCTACCCCTTTTGCTGGGCTATTTTGGATGTGCGTTGTGAAGTATCTAGTAATGTCTTAGGGGACTATGAGGCTGTTCCACAACCTGTCTGCCTTGCTGATGCACAAATTTTATAGCCTAGTCTTGTCCTTATTCTTTCCTGGAGTGGTTGTAAATGCTGCACTGAGGTGCAGTGAGTTTGTGCATGGGTCATAGTTTGCTAGTCCTGGGTGCTGATCTTCCTCCTCCAGCTGTCCTTGAACAGATGACAGTAGACAAGCAGCTAAGTAAGGACAGGTGACTAGAGAAGGCTCCCTTTCCTTAGGAGCATGGAGCCTTCTTAGGGGTGGGAAGACGAGTCAAGGAGATATGGACAATAAAAACACAGCACTGAATGAAAACTATAAGGCAAATAGCTCAGAACAACCAGGCAGGAGGGTGGAGACACAGGAAGAGGAAAATAAAGACAAAGTAAGGAAAGAGCCAAAAGAGTCTGCTCCAGTGCCTAAGTGCAAAACTGCATTTGAGGCATCACCTTAACCAGAGGTGAAGAGTTATCATGGAAAAAATATGCAGAATGTTAAGGAATCCAAAGTGTAGAAACTTGAGAGGCTTTCTACTCTGGAGTGCTGGAGACAAGGTCAGGAATGTGTATACCTTCACTTTCGAGGCCAGATAGCATCTTCTAATTTGCTTTTTTTTTGCCTTCTAGTCACGCCCTTCCTCCCCTCTTGACACAGCTGCCTAAGTAGCATCTTATATCTGGTTAGAGATCAAAATTTGTGACTCTTCTGTTTTTTAATCACTCCCCTCTTGAAAAAAAGAAAAGCCTCATTTGTTCTTGTGTTGAGCATTTAGCAGTAGAAACAGCTTTTTTTCCACCGTTTTTTCTTCTCCTAAAAATACTTAGTGTCAGGGTTCTGTTTATTTTGGAAGAGTGCAGAGAGCTTGGCGTATGCCTGTATGCAGAGATATGTGATTAGGGATTGCTTTGTTAGTCAGTTTGAGAACAAGAGGCAGGTACTGAGGTGAGACAGCACAACAGCATGTTTGCTGCTTCCCAGGTTAACCCTTTCTGCAGAGTGAGCAGGTAAGTGGGTCAGACTAAACTAAGGTGGGACTATGGATTTGTTTTCATTATAACCTGCAAGAGTTCATAGGACATGTGGCTATTGTCTATCTTGGAAGCCAAATGTCAATAGCCTGCAACAGAGGAGAATTTGTCTGATAAATCAGTGGGTCACCTTCTTTGGCTCTGGCCTATAGAAAAGTGAGATAATGCCAGGTTATCAGGAGTGTGTGTATTAGGTTTTTTTGGCACATAGGCACATACTTGGGTATTGTACCTGTATTATGAAACAGCCATGGAAGCTTGAGTGCAAATGGCTTTTGTTGGCTATTTGATATTTCGTGTATCCTGCAGTTTTTGTGCACAGATCTAAAATCAAAAACTGGTCGAAGACCAGCACGGGTCAAAGTCATCATTGCCCTGAATAACTTCCACCACTAACAAAACAAATAGTGACCTGAGCAGGAGTTGAAAGTTAAGGAAGGATACCAGCCTTAACACACTGCTGGTTACCAAATGCAAATGAAACCCCTTTGACTACAAAGGAAATAAATTCCATTGTCTAGGAGCCCTAAATGAAAATACAGAGGCACCCATAGGATTGCAGGTGGGGACAGACCAGCACTTGCGTGGGTGCCATGGGAGTGGAAGCCACAGATACTAAGACCAAACCAGACCACCTCAACTGGGCTGCATTATCAGTCATGCAGCTCAATGTGAGCAGGGGCTGTGTTTCAGACTGTCACTGCAGTCTGATTAGCAGCAATTCAGAGGGATAAATCTGATGAAAACTTTGACAAAGAACAAAAATCTTGAATGTGCTTTGACATTACTTCAGTGAGTTCTATAGAACAACTTGTGAGGATGTTAAAATTTGTTTTGGTTGACTTCTGTGTTGTGTAATTAGCTTTGGATATTGTATTTAAATAGTAATGCATGAAATAATTAGTCTTTATCTTGGTTTCGTTTGCTGCAAAGAAATAGGTCCCTCTGTTTATGAAATTATAAAGGTCTAAAATTATGGTAGTTACAGTGGATCTTGTTCAAGGTGGCACTAAAGCTATACCATTGGGTTTAGTTTATTAACTCTTTTTCTATATGTGTGTATACACACATGCACATATGTGAGGTCGAGAGTTGGCAAAAGTGTTAAGAGAACAACATTTTTTCCTAGTCCGTGTAGAGCCTTTGTGTCACTAAGGTCAAAATCATCTTCTAGGCATAGTTTTAGTGAATTTTGCTCAGTGTGATGCTGCAGTGTACTTCACCACTGTTGTCTTTCCTCTCAGAAACAGGTGAGGCTTACTATTTTGGGATACTGTAATTCTGTTTTCTTTATAGTAGCATCTCACAAATGCCACTTTTTAGTCTCTTACTTAAGGTCCAGTATAAAAATGTAGTTTTGCAGCTGTCCAAATGGATTTATTGTCTGTCTCTGCAATTTTGCCATGCTCATCGCTGGTACTACATAACAGCAGAAAATAATGCTCGGTTCCAAGCCGCAAGAGTGGCATCCTTTAAATCCTGTGAATATTTAAGACTTGACCCTTTTTAGCTCTGCTTTTAAGGTTTTGCTTTTAAGTGGCAGTGGTCCTTTAAGTGGTAATGAGCAGGGATGATGCTGACACCTTGTTCAGTGGCAGATGGGAGGGAATTCTGGAAGGAGCAGTAAGAAATGTCTTGCAATGAGAGCCATCCTTCCCCATCTTTCCCTGCTAGGAGATCTCTACTGTAGGCAGGTAAGAAATCTTCCCTTTTGACATCTTAAGAGCACTGCAGGATGAGAAAGATGATGACACCCAGGGAAACCTGTTCCTAGTTACTTAAAAAAAAAAAAAGGGAGTGGTGTGAGATTTTGTTTTCGGGTTTTTTTGAGGATGTCACTGTTGTTTTTTGAGGCTTACTCATTCCTTTGAGGCTTATGCTGGGTGGAAGACCAAGATAATTTTTGTCAGCTAGATAATGTTTGCTGCTTACATGGTTAAATGTATTAACTATAAATTTTTCTAGGTCCAAGTGACTGTCATGCAAAATCCATTACTGATTTAAGCAATAGCTGAGGATTTGGGCAGTTTGTCCGTAGGTATGTCATTTAGAAGATGTCCTGTGTAACAAACCATGCCAACATTTTTGCTCTTTTCAGTTTCTTATTAATATAATTTTTTGGAGTCTTGCACTTGCTCAGGAACATTTTCTGTTCAGTTCTTAAACAGTAAATTTTTTAGCTCACTTTAGTAGTGTGGGTAGGCTTTCCAGTTATATCCTGTTACTTAAAATCTGTTTTGATAGTTCTTTTCAAAATAGGTAGTTCAACTAATAAAATGTAGCTGTTTGTGTGTGTGTGTGTCTGTAGGTTATTGATTAACATAGACTTATTTAATTTAATTTCTTGTCCATTCCAAGGAAATACAAATAGTTCATGCTAACCTGCAGCAGCAACCACTTCAGAAGGAGCTGATGGGATCTGGGTATGCCCAGTTGTATGTTATATCCAGGAATCACATTCAAGGTGTGAAATTGAAATCCTGAAAAAATATTATGAAGAGGGATTCCCTGCCTCCCTGTTGATTTATAACACAGATTGCAATCTTTCTATAGCTGCTGCAAATGCACACCACAATGGTGGTAGTAGCTGTGGGATGCAAGCGTGGTTGATCTGACGAAGAAATGTAGCTTGGTTTTGCAAGGAAGTAAATTAGTGGCTGCACTTGCAGCTGCTTTTGTTAATAGGGTCAGCAGATTAACTTGGATAGGGAGGAAACAGAAAAATGTAGTGTCTCAGAAGCACTATAGGTGTACTGTCTTCAGTGAGCAGTGTGCAGTTGTTTTGCTAAGTGGGTGTCAAACAGAAGTCAAAGATAAGATTTGCTGCCTGTGACCATATAGGAATGTGGCTTTCAATGCTGCAGGAGGTGTTGTCAAATCAGCTGCTACTGTAATACAAGGAAAGAAGAGGAAGTGCGAGTAAGAGAGAAAGAGTATATGCTTGCAGACAGCCTGAGTAGCCTTGTATTACTTCAAATGCATAAAATTAAGTACCTGGACTTGCAAAATTTACAGAAACTGTAGTGCAGTATAGGTAATGGGCTTCCACCGGTAACTTGTCAGGAATCTTATGGTCATAATTAAATAGGCTGATACCTGCAGCATTTTATACTTTCTCCTTTAATGTTCTCCTTTAATAGCCTAGAGATGCTGTAGATTCCAGCAAACAATGCTCTATCTGAGGTAGAAAAAGCAATTTGAATATGAATGGGGCTTTGCATGCTAGAGCCTGCAGTTTATCTCTGCCTCACCTCCATAGCAAAGATGAAGTTGGCTTCCAGCCACCTCATAAAACTCCCATGGGCACTGACTGCTCTGAAGAGAATTAGTATCGCTAAATGCTGCTTGCTGCCTACTATGTATCATGCCATTGAGATGGAGAAAGACAAGGAGGTAGCTCAGTCAGAGTTTGTTCACTTTTGACGTGAAGTCTGAAGCCAAAACTGTCTGTGGGTCCTGAGGTCAGAGGGATGAAAGCTGCTCACAACATGTTGACTTCTGCTGGTCAACTGCAGTCCAGCAGCCCTGGGGAATTGAGTTTCCTCTCGGGGCAGGAAGTGCTCCTTCTGCAGGAAACAGGCCAGTTCACTGATAAAAGTTGAAGGGGCTGCTCACAAACAAAAGGGCATTGTGTTGAATTTGATGTGCAGAGATTCTGTCAATGAGTGTTACTGGTTCAGTACTGAGAAAAAGTGCCTGCCTGACAGCCCTGAGGAAAGGTGGTCTCAACCTACTATACAGGTACACCCCAAGCCATGGTTATCTTGCACTGTCAGTGAGACCACAGCTTGTCAGGCAAGGACACTCTTGAGATTTGTTGAAACTTTTGTAGTCTGTAGCCTTTGAGTGTCAAGAGGTGCTACCTGAGTAGGCTTTCAGAGGCTCTTACCCATCATGTGGAGATTCTTTTAGCATAGCTCACTGAACAGTCTTTAAACATGAAAGCCTTTACTTACCTGCCCTGATACTTGAATTAGAGAATAACAGGATAAAAAGGTTTCCAGTGCCATCATTTTTGTGATTATTCATCTTTTCCTAACCCAAAATGGATACATTGACCTAAATAAGCTGCACACATTTGCAATTCTTGAAGGGTGTTCTTGAATGGTGAGGATGTGAAAGTATCCTGATGGAGCTTGCACAGGGAAATAAATGTTACAGCCTTACTGGGTTTCTATTCACATGTGGGTTTAAGAAAGAATGTCCAACTTGTCAAATACGCTTTGTCTTGCCATATCCTGCCTTTTGTTTAAGACATCTGTGATTATTTCCCTCTACTGTGAGATTCACTTCCAATAATGACTGCACCAAAAGAGTAGATGCCAAGATCTGTTTCAACATCTTAGCCAAATGTTTAGTATAGCATGAATAGGGACTCTGCATATGTTTTTAGCAAAAGGAAAAATGTCATTAAATAGTTATTTTTTCCCTATTTACATACAGTCTCAGGTAAGATGCCTTCTGGATTGAGCATGAGACCACCCAAAATGAAGATTAATGCCATTATAGAAAGTCTTGTCTCACCATCTCTTCCAGCATCCACTTAGATACAGCAAATGCACCAGAAATGTTTGTGTCTCAGAGTTGCACAAACTGTGTGTGCCATGTCTAAAATAACTCCTTCTGTATTAACACCCACCTGTTTTCCTGATGGTGATTCCTGTAGTTGTTGAACAGATTAACATGCTTTCCTTTCTTGTTCCTTTTTCTCCTCCATGACCAGGAGGAAGAGGATGACAGCACGGGCACAGAAATGAAGATCCTGAGAGGACATTGTGGACCTGTGTATAGCACAAGGTTCCTTTCAGACAGTTCAGGACTCTTATCTTGTTCTGAGGACATGTCCATCAGATACTGGGACCTTGGGAGTTTTACAAACACTGTGTTGTACCAAGGGCATGCCTATCCTGTGTGGGATTTGGATATTAGCCCCTGCAGCCTGTACTTTGCCAGTGGTTCCCACGATCGCACTGCGAGGCTCTGGTCGTTTGATCGGACGTACCCACTGCGAATATATGCAGGCCATTTGGCAGACGTGGACTGCGTCAAGTTCCACCCCAATTCCAACTACTTGGCGACGGGCTCCACGGACAAAACTGTGCGCTTGTGGAGCACTCAGCAGGGCAATTCAGTGCGTCTTTTCACCGGGCACCGTGGCCCTGTGCTGGCGCTTGCGTTCTCTCCCAACGGTAAGTATCTGGCATCAGCAGGCGAAGACCAGCGGCTAAAGCTGTGGGATTTGGCATCAGGAACTCTTTACAAAGAACTGAGGGGGCACACGGACAACATAACCAGCCTTACTTTTAGCCCTGACAGTAGTTTGATTGCTTCAGCGTCAATGGACAATTCAGTTCGGGTCTGGGACATTCGGAACACTTACTGCAATGCCCCTGCGGATGGGTCTTCCAGTGAACTGGTTGGTGTATATACCGGGCAAATGAATAATGTACTGAGCGTACAGTTTATGGCCTGTAATCTTCTTCTAGTGACTGGAATTGCACAAGAAAATCAGGAACATTAATTTTTTTTTTTTTTTTTTTTTTTTTAGGGAAGTGGGTGGGTGTATTGAATGTCAGAGTCCATTGCAAGCTGAGATTACTGACTGTGAAACACTTTTCTTCCTTTGCCCCTTGAAAGGCATGTTCAGAGTAATGCAGATGCTTTAAGATGTCACGAAAAGGCCTGTGCTGTTGAACAGAATAAGGAAAAAAGGAGAAGTGATGAAAATACATACACGTTCTAATCTTGTACTTGTAGGAACGAGAAAAAGGGGAGTAAATCCAGTAGCTTGGGGAAACCAAAAGCTTGGTCCAGACAAGTGAAACTGCCAACCAGATAAGCTGCTGACCTGCACTTAAATATCCTGCGTTGATTGATGGGCACATGTTACCTACTGTTAACTGAGGCTCAAGTGTGTGGAGAACTACTGGCCCAGTGTTTTTTGTTTTGTTTTGCTTTTGTTTTCCTGGTATTGCAGAGGACCAGCATTTTTAAGACCCTTCTATTAAAAGAACATTGTGTATATTCTACAATGATAGTGGTCCTAAATACTACAGCTCCTTATAGCACTTCTGGAATATTTTGGACTAAGTAAGTAGAAAATACGATTGTTCTTTTTTGTAAGGGGATGAAAATCTGACCTCAGTTGGGGCCCATCTCTGCATTGTCATTTGGGTTTGATTCCTGATACTAGCTGTGATATTTGTATTTATGTTCCATTAATTAGGAAATTTTCTGACTCTGGTTGCACTGTGTTTTGAGGATGGGAGGACAGTGGGGGCAGAGCGGTGGCTTTAAGGGTAATAAACAACTTGCCTTGTCTGGAGGGAGGGCACAATAGAAATAAAGTGGCTAAGTTTGGACTCCTATTGGAAACAGGGCATGTCAATCCACCACTGCACCTCACAGAAATATTTCCATAAATGGAAGTTGGCAGTCCAGGGAGAGGGGGATGAAGAGAGACACACAAAGTGACATGGGAAAAAATAGTCTTACTAAATTATTGTGTGTACACAGAGGCAGCTCTGCCAGTGTTGGATTCTTCTCAAATGTTGCAATACCGGTTTCATGAACACTTTGTGAGATAAATCATCAGCATTTACAACAAGGATCTGCGGAAAAAGCACGTTCTAGTTTGTCATTTGGAGAGATTAAATATTTCTGCTTTCTGGAAAGAGTTATTTTGTATTTTGTTTTCTATTAAAAGCATTTAGTTTAAAAAGAAAAATAAAAATGGTTTGGTCCCTTTCTGGGAAGTTCACTCCAACTTGCATGGGAAGAAAGCAGCAGCATGTTTCTACACTGCTTGAGCCAGAACCCAGTTGGCACTTGGAGGCTGAATCTGGTGGTCTCGCTCACTTGGTGCATGCTATTTTGATGTCCCTCTACTGGCTTTCCACAGAGCTGATGTGACAGATCACAGAATAGAGTGTTGTAGGTTGGCTGAAATGCACATGTACAGCTTTACAGGTTGGCTGAAATCCACATGGAGGATCTAGGTGCCCCCTGAGGTTGACACTATGCACCAGTAGTGCTGCATGACCTTTACTTTGATGTTTTAAAGTGCCTCTTTTGAGCAATGTCTTCTAGACAGGCTGTTAGTATTAAATGAGAATTCCCTTCAGCTTCCCTCAAATCTTCTGGATTTTCATGAGAAAATTCTCTTGAACACCTAAACAATCTAAGAGTTTGGACTACAATTCACAGTTGCCTTTTTTTTTTTTTTTTATTGTGTACTTACGCATTGGTAAACCAAAATATTTTATTAGAAAAGTGTTTGACCTTTCTGAGATTAATAACAGCATGAGCTGTGGCACAGCTCTGGGAGTACTAGAAACCCCTCTGTACACTTGGAGATAAATGGCACTGCTAATCTCCTGACAGCTGCACATCAAAAGTGTCAAGCAGCTTAACAATTCCAGACCAGCACCAGGAGTTTTGAGGGGGAAAAAAAAGGGTCATGGTTGTATTTCTGGTTCTTTGTGCTATGCACGTTTCCAGAGAGACCTTCATCTTCAGCTCTGTTGAGCCAATACTGCTCTCCAGACCAGACACATGGTATTCTTCAATCTGCAGTAGTCTTTCCAGTTGTTTTGAGTAGTTTTACTTTGTATCCCAAAGGTTTCATTGTGAAATTACTCTTGGCTGAATGCCCATGTGAATACCTAGGTAGGATGTGGCTCATGAGTGCTCTCTGGAAGTCATTTTGCTGTTTGTTGCCAAATGTCCCGAGCAGTGTTTAGATTTAGAGCAGCTAGACTTTCAGTCCTGAAGTAGAGCAAACAGAAACCTGTAGTAGAGCAAAAAGGGGGGGAGAAGGGGTGGAAAGAGACGGAAATAAGAGTGAGATGGGCAGAGAACAAAGTTTCCCTTTAACATCTTACTTTTTTACAGTAGAATTGGGCTTTTTATTACTTGGATTACTGTGAAGTATTTTGCATACAGAAATGACAAGAGTAAAGATGCTTGGGAAGAAAATCCTGTTATACGTACATAGGCTGAAAGATGTAAAAGTAATGTCTGAGGTGTTGGAAAAAAATCACTAATTATGAGCTTCAAGCCTGTAAATTTCTATGTACAGTGTGGAGAGTTTTTTTGGTGCTTGTGAAACATAAATGTTTGAAGGAAGGAAGCCAGGAAATAATCTAGACTATTAAGAAATGTTTGCAATTGATTGACAAGCTGAATTTTAAGGCAGAACTGGGAGAAAAGTATGAATGGGAGGAATACCATTAAGTCTAGGAAAATTTGGACTGTAGCCTCTATTAACTATCTAGCAAGCGCAGTTGTGTGGAACACTTCCTTATTCTATTTTAAATGTATATCAAAAACCACAAAAGCATTTAAGCCGACATAGTTAAGCACTCAAATATAAGTAAGCATCATAGCAGGGATCTTGCAGCTCATGTGTCTGTGCATAATGCTTTCTCTGTCGCTGACTGGGTCCTCCTTCCCCTGTAAAGCTCTGTTCACTTCATGTGCCTCCTGGAAAATGCCCAGTGCACCAGGCACTGCATGGTATCAGCCAGTGGCTATTGGTAGATGCTGAGAAAAAGAGGACAGTGGACAGCAGTCCTTCCTTGGTTTACACATTCCTGTGTTCTCACAGTTATGGTTTGTTGAGTTTTGGGATTTGTTATAGTAGACCACCAGAACTGCAGCCTATGTGTCTTTAATAGCTGCTGATGGATTTAGTTTCATCTAAATTAGTCTCATCTCTTTTATTAATCAGCTATATACTTGTACCTTCCACAGTTTGGTGCAGCAAGAAGTTCTGCACCTTGTTTTTATGAGGGGGAAAAATATTTCCTTGTTCTTGACATTCGTTATCTGATAATTTTGTTCTGTTCCCTAACTTCTTGAATTGATAAAGACAACGAAGAGTAAAACACCCTTTCAAAAGGTGTCAGGTAGTCCAGGCCACAGTAAATACAGACAAAGCTGAGGTAAAAGTCTATTTTTAGTCACTGAATACTGATGAAAGGAAAGGGTATTTGCTCTAATAAATTGCTACACCCATTCACAGGTCTGTACTGAAGTTTCCCTTCTCACTTTCAACACTGGCATCTCCCGTGCAGTATGCTGCCATACTGCTCAGTCAAATGTCTTAATTTCCCAAATGGCAAAGTTCATCCTATTCCTCCCCATTCTGGTTCCATTGTGAAAAGACTATCTCTTACAAGACTGTCTCTTAAAAGTGTCTTTTAAGTCTAACAACAGTTTAAAGAAACGGTATTACCATTAACAGATCCTTCAGGTTTGCCAAGAAAAATAAAAAGGATTTTGGGCCATTTTGTTAACCTTGTTTCAACACTTGCTGACTTTTGTTAGACCTGTGGGCTGTGGGTTCTTCAAGAAACTCCTGAAATGGCCTTTCTTCTGAGTGGTGTCTAGTCGTTTGTGATGAGCCAGGCTCTAAAACTGTACCGTTACAAGATGCCAACGTGACAGTTAAATTAACTGCCTGGATGTCCCTTGCCAAAGACTATCCTGTCATGCTGCACATTAGCTATGGGGGGTTTTTTTTAAGGTACTGAATAGGAACCAAAACTGACTTAAATAACTCAACAATGTTCTCCATGCTTAAGATATTTCAAGTACAAAATATTGATAAAATTTGTCTTTGGACTAGTAATCTTTTTTAACAATTTCAAGCGTATCTGACTTTCTGTTTCATGGACGCTGCTATACAACTGCACCAATCAGCATGTGTACAGAGGTGTTATGTTATATACAGGGATATCTTGAACACCCTGCCTCTACCTTGGAAGATGGCAGATTAGACTCCACTTTTACACTTGGGTAAGTGGGCTGCCTAGACAGCAGTGAGTGAGCGCTGTGGGTCTGTTTGGAGGTGCAGCAATACTCCTGCTGAAGCATCCAAAGGCTGGGTTGCACGTGAGTCTCAGGAAGTTTCTAAAAATGATGGATAGAGGAGAAGCAGGTGGACACTAAGTGGAGCAAGGCTCATAGATAACTAACTACTCCTGCCAGAAGGAGTTTCTTGTTCTCTGGACAGCAGTGATAGTACCTGTCCTCTGATGTCTGCCTTAGACCAGCTCCGGGCCTGGCTCTGCAATAGCTACTGAAGCTTTGCAGTTCATGGAGAGGGACAGGGCAAATAAGGGCAGAAACTCCTGCATGCTCATTGCAGTGATAAACTGAGGTCATGCTGTAAGACAACCCCAGACAAACAAGTGCCAACTGCATGTGGAGAATGGCCATTTGTCTGGCATCCAGAAAAGCATAGCAAAACTTGTGTACTGACAACTTGCCCTTTAGAACTAGCACAGATCCTTCCAGAGCTGCATGTACTTCAACACTAGGAATCGGCCAAGCCCTAAACATTTGCTCCTTAGGACTGGAGTTGTGAGTGCACATGTGACTTTGTGGTATTTTAGGTTAACACATCACAACTTCAGCACAGATTTTGTTCTTTTTTTTTCTTTCTTTTTTTTTTTTTTTTTTTTTTTGTAGATATGTGCAGGACTGCTGTTACTTTTTGCCATTTTTGCTTAAGGTAATAGCAGAGTAATCTGCATGTGAGAGACTGGAAAAGAATAGCCAGAATTGTATGCACTCTCTTCCCTCCTGGCAACTCCACTCCACTGGTGCAAATATTTCATGACCACTTAGGATGACTGTATAACCATATGTGAGTTTGGCGGTGGTTGTGTTTTTATACGTTATTTTTTCCCCAGAAGCAAAGCCTAAACCGAAGTGGAGCGTCAAGTTCTGCTGCATCTAAATTTTCCGGCACCTTTGCCAGTCAGATCTCCTTGTCCTGATGAAGGTAGGGGGTGCGTGGCTTTCTCTGTTCTTTTTAAAATTATTTATCCATAATTCTTACTTCTCCAAAGTCTCTTCAAAAGAAAACATCTTGTGTTCTCAAAAGCCCTCATCCTGCAGCCAGCACAGGAAAGACAGAAGCGCTGAGAACCTGCCTTCCTGAAGCACTGTTTGTATCTCCATAGATTGTTTTATTGCATCAAGAGGTTACTTCACAGATCTCAGTGACATCTATGTGCAGAGATGCCAGAGCCCCACCCTGCATACCTCACTGCTCGGGTGCACCTGGCAGTGGGAACTGTATGCTTCAGTCAGGTTTAATTTCACAATGTTTCATTTTCCTCCAAATAGCACTGTGGAAGAATGTGTATTGTGGGATTTCAATGCTCTGTGTTGCTTTTGTACTGCTTGCTTTGCCCCACGCAAGGACTTTTGTCCTGCAGTGCCTGGCTTTTTTCTCCCTGAAGACAGGCTACAAAACTATTTCAGTATCACACGATAACTAAAGAGAAATTTAGCATTTGCTCTTTAATCTACAGCATGTAACACCATCAGCTTTTATGCACCCAGTCAGATAACATGGGGACAGCACAGCTTGGCCAGGACAACCTGCAGCACCTGAAGCTTCACTAGAAGACATAAACTCACATCTCTGCAAACTTTCCTGAGTGTGCCACTCTTGCCATGCTTTCCCCTGTATTCACTGGGTTTCCCCTCTGCACCTTCCAGGATCCTGCAGGAGCAGGGGTCCAGCACTGTGTCAGGTTTGGCAAGACCCTGGCCCTCAGTACTGCACCCAGGCTGGAGGTTTGCTCTCTGTCCTCTCTCCGACCCTAATTAATCCCCAGCCTCTGGAAACGGGGTGGCCAGCCAGGGGCTGGTGTGGGGAACGCGGTGCTGACTCCTGGGGTGCACTGTGGCACAGACTGCAGTGGCATGAAGCTCCTCGGGCCACAACAGCCTAAACTAACCACCACTCTTATTAAAAAGTGCTATTTAATTAAGTGTTTCTCCCCTCTCATAGGCTGTCTTGTGTCATCATCATGACTAGGGTTCACGAGTGAAGATTTGGGATTTTGGATATCTTGTGTAGTGTTGCTGCAAAACTACACTAGTAGTTTGCGTATTAGTGTTTTCCAAAACCAGGTTGTTTAGGTTGGAGAAGAAGAAGCCCAGGGGTGACCTTACCATTCTCAACAAGTACCTGAAAGGAGGTTGTAGCCAGGTAGGGAGCGGTCTCTTCTCTCAGGCAACCAGTGACAGGAGGAGAGGATGTAGTCTAAAGCTTCAGGGAAGGTTTACATTAGACATTAGGAAGAATTTCTTCACAGAGGGGCTGATTAGACATTGGAATGGGCTGCCCAAGGAGATGGATGAGTCACCGTCCCTGGAGGTATTTAAGGAAAGACCGTATGTGGCTTTGAGTGCCATGGTCTAGTTGACGTGGTAGCGTTCGGTCAAAGGTTGGACTCGATGATCCCAGAGGTTTTTTCCAACCTTTATGATTCTGTGATTCTGTCACGCCTTTCCAGGAAAGGCGGGACCGGTCGGTGCGATCCCGCCGAAGGGCGCTCCCCCGGCCCTCTCCTGGCCCGTGGGAGGTGGCCGCGCGCTGCGCTGTATTTTCCAACGGGACACAATTACCCAAAAAACGACCCTAACACTGGGCACGAGGCGAGTGCGGGTCAACTTCCACACACACACTCCGCCTCTCACAGGGCGGGCGGCCCGCCCCGTCCCGCTCCTTGCCCGAGGGATCGATTGGTCGCGCCTCTGTTTCGAGGGCAGCCCGGGAAGAGGCGAGCGCCACAAAGCGCACCCCGCCCCGGGTGCTCTGCGCGGGGAAGCGGCGCGAAAACCCGCCCCTGGCTCGGCCCGGCGCGGCGCGGGGCAGGGCCCTGCCCCCTGGCGGCGCCCCGGCCCCGGCGCTCCGCAATCCCAGAGGTTGTGGCTCCGTGAGGCACCTCAAGCGCTGGGAAAAGGTCACGGGATTTCCATTGCAGAGACGGCTGAGAGGGGACCTCATCGATGTGTATAAATATCTAAAGGGAGGGTGCCAGGAGGATGGAGCCAGGTTCTTCTCGGTGGTGCCAAGCAATGGGACAAGAGGCAGTGGGCAGCAACTGATGCACAGGAAGTTCCCACGGGATATGAGGAAGAACTTCTTTACTGTTCAGGTGACCATGCACTGGAACAGGTTGTTCAGAGAGGTTGTGGAGTCTCCCTCACTTGGAGATATTCAAGAACCATCTGGATGCAATCCTGTGCCATGTGCTCTAGGATGACCCTACAGGGAGTTTGGACCAGATGGCCCACTGTGGTCCCTTCCAACCTGACCAATTCTGTGATTAAGTATATGGTATATATACCATATCCTCCTGCGGTGCCCAAGGGCGGCATTGGAGAGGGCAGGGAGGCTTCCTGTGGGAAAGGAGGAAACCCAGGCACCAGGGTGAGGTTGCTGTGCTACTTCGCTCACACCGCAGGTCTCCAAACATTCCCGCATCACCTGAGGGCTTTGAGGAAGGTTTATGCTAATTCACTCAAATATCAAGGGAAAGGGCTCTAGTGGTTTTCCCAGGATGAGCCTCCATCCCTCAGCATGCTCACTGGGTGTGCTAACCCCTCAATTTCCCTAAATGCTGGGAATTTGGCTATATGATTTGCAGTAGCAAAAGGCTGTTCAGTTTTTCTTGTGATCTTTTAATACAAGTTTATTCATTTGCAGTCTTTAAAGCACGGTTGTTCAAACCATTCTGGCAAACTAAATCTCACAAACTGATTTTAACTAATTCACAGAGAAGCTTGACCCAAAAATTTAAAACTGAAGTGTAGGTATCCCTATACTGAGCACTCCAGTGGGGAAAACAGGTCAGTGGGGTCAGTTCCATGTTCTGGCTCCCAGTACTGTGTGGCCTCAGAAAAGCTGTGGCTCCATTTCCTTTTCTTAAATCAGGGTTAGGGGCAGCAGATTGTTTGGAAAATGGCTCATACCCCAAGAAGTAATATGTGAAGAAAATAGTAACAATGAAAAGCTGTTTGTATGGATCATAGAATCATAGATTGTTAAGGGTTGGAAGGGACCTTAAAGATCATCTCTTTCCAAACCCCCCCTGCCATGGGCAGGGACACCTTCTACTATATCAGGTTGCTCAGTGCTCCATCCAAACTAGCCTTAAACACTTCCAGGGATGGGACAGGCAGAACTTCTCTGGGCAACCTGTTGCAGTATCTCACCCCTCTCACAGTAAAGAATTTCTTATTAATATCTAACCTAAATTTCCCCTCTTTCAGTTTTTACCCATTACTCATTGTAATCCTGTAGGCTCTAGCCCGAACATTGGCACAGATCCCGCAGCCACCAGCCTGAGCACGGGATCGGGCATCTGGTGTCCCTGAAAGACAGCTCTCCAGTGGCTGGAGGTTTTCCCTTGTTCAGACCACGACCAAAACCATGGACAGGCAGGATGCGCTGTGGACACGGGTGGCTAGTCTGAGATGGTCTCCCCTGGCGTGACCCTACCGGATCTGGGACGGAGGAACCGGGGAAGGGGCGGAGTCCCTCCTTCTTTATCCCGGCTGCCTCAGGCCCCGGTCCCGCCCGAGGCGGGAGTCTGCCGACGCTGGGCAGGTCAGGCTCACAGAACCTCAGACTTGTTAGGGTCAAATGGGACCGCTGGAGATCATCTTAGTCCAAGCCCCCTGCCAAGGCAGGGTTACCCAGAGCAGGTGACACAGAAACGCGTCCAGGTGGGCTCCCTCTCCCTCCAGACAAGGCGACTCCACGACCTCCCTGGGCAGCCTGTTCCAGTGCTCCGCCACCCTCAATGTAAAGTTCTTCCTTATGTTGAGGTGGAACTTCTTGTGTTTTAGTTTATGGCCACTGCTCCTCGCCCTGTCGCTGGGCACCACCGAAAAGAGCCTGGCACCATCCTCTTGGCACCCGCCTTTGAGATATTTATATGCATTAATGAGATCCCCTCGGTCTCCTCGGGCGCCATTTCAGCAGGCCCCGTTCCCTTCCCCAGGCCGGGCGGCGGCAGAGGGCGCTGGCCGGGGAGGCCGGGAGGAGGCCGGCAGCCGCAGCCTTATCAGCGTGCCGCAGGCCGGGCCGGGCCCGGGCGGCCGCGGGTGCCCGGCCGCCGGCCCATGGGCGGCGGCGGTGGCTCGCAGGCGCCTCCTCCTCCTCCTCCCGCCGCAGACCCGGGCTGCGGGGACCGGCGGCAGCAGCAGCAGCTCCGGTGTCGCGCCGGCCGCATGGCGGGCTACGCGCCGCGCCTGCCCTGGCTGCTGCCGCTGCTGCGGCGGGCGGCGCCGCCCCCCTGGGCTCGGGCGGCCGCCGGGGCCACCGCGCTCCGCGTCCCGCCGCGGCCGCTCGGCAGGTGCGGGGCGCTCCTGCCGCCGCTGCTGCTGCCGCTGGGCTCCCCGTCCTGCCGCCGCCTCCTTCTGCCCGTCCCAGCGCGCTCGCTGAGCACCGCGGCGGGCACGGAGCCGCCGGGGAGGGCTCCGGGCCCCCCGCCGCGCTTCGAGGCTCGGAGGCTGCTGGCCCTGGCGCGCCCCGAGCGCTGGAGACTGACAGGTACCGGGGGCCGCCCCGGGGCTTGGTCCGAGCGGGAGGGGGCGGTGGGCGCCCCGCCCGGAGGGGCTGCCGGGGCCGGGGAGCGCGGCAGGGTGCGCCCCCCGAGCGGCCGCCGCCGGGGCGAAGAGAAGGTCGTGTTTCCCTCGCGAACCGGCGCCGCCGGCAGCATCCGAGCACAGCGTGGAACCTCCGAGCGAGCGTTCCGTACCTGTGAAAAGCTAAAGACATGCCTTCTCCCCCGCTCCTCCCCTTGCCATCTCTTAATCTGTTGGTTTTTGAAGGGAAGGTAAAAACTTTTGGAAGTTACAGAACTCGGTTCCGTTTGTTTAATGCCTCTGTGCGTGTTCAGCATTGGCTTCACAATCAGCCTGCAATAAATTCGGGCCCAACACTCTCTGGAATCAAGTGAAAATGGGAATCCGAAGCTTTTTTAAAAAAATTAATTAAAAATCTGTTTCCCAATAATTTTTTTGTTTAAAGCTTTTGTAGGGTGTTCTGAAAGCTATTTATTTTTAGTGACTATATGGTGAAGTCAAACACTGTGGTCGTGTAAATTGCACTCTTAGCACTGATATTATGAACAAAGAGTAGAAATGAACTTTTCTTAACATTGCTTCTTGTGGGGTTGATAGGATAATAGCTGATAGTAAGGAAACAATATTAAATTATTATGTGGTTTGGTTTTTTTAAGTAATCTTTTTTGGTGGACAGCATGTGCACTATCTTAGCTGTGTGAGGCCTGTAGTCCTTTGCAGAAACTTGGGTAGTTCCTATGGAATGGGTAAATGGTGTTTGAGAGAAGAGAGGTGAGATAGACTTATATAAAGAGATGGTTTGTGAGATGCAAAATACTTTGCACAAGGTTTATTCACAGGGGATATTTACAGAGTTTCGTTACATGTTGGTACTACATAGCCAAAATAATTTGGATCCAAATGAATTTTTATAAATTTTAGACTACCTGCTGATTTTGCAATGATGTTCTGTGGTTTTCTCATTTAGATTTAATCAAGTAAATAAATCAGTTATTTGAAGGATGGCTTTTAGGACCCAAGGCTCCTAACTGAGAATTTAATTTAGTTCCCTTAACTGGGCACTTACTGTCAGCTTGTTTGTCATAGGCAGGGTGCGGTATACTTGTTTGTAATTATGTTTTGAAATAGAGCGAAGAGGCTTTAATCTGTGCAGTCTGATGATGGTTTTATCAAAGTAAATCAACTATCACAGTTCCTAAAAATCAGCTACATGCAGCTTTGTCTTTTGAGATAAGAAAATGGCATGAATTAAAGTTTAAACAAAACCAACACAACAACATGATGTTATCGAGTCATGTGGATGGAAAAAATATGCAAATGTGATAACTGCTTTTCGGTGTTCTGTTGGTCTTGGTTCTGGGAGAGGAGGGAATTTATGTAAAATTCTTATTTACTGATGCCCTACTTTAAAGAAGACTTTTGTTGTTAAGTTGTAATTAAGTGGGAGGATGGAAAAGCAAACAAGGAAAATACTTCGGGTCATTGTAGAGTGCAGGAATAACAAATATGGACAAAATGCATTGTAGGTGGTTGTAGGGAAATTGCATCTACCCCATTTTATCTAATATATGTTAAAATATGCTGCATTTTTTTCCTGTTGCAGCTTTGTACTGAGAAAGTAGTCCTTAAAAGCTCAATATCTCTGTTTTTCCTGCATTCAAAGAAAGAGGAAGGTTAATGGTTTCGCTGTATGAAACAATGAACCAAGGATAAAACATTTTATTTCCTCTTCAAGTATCCATAACCAGTAAGCAAATGCTGTGTGATCTCTTCAGAGGCTTACAGGTGCTGTTTTGTTCTACAGGAAGGTTGAGCTCTTCCAGATTTTTTGCAGTTTATAGAAGCAGTGGTCGGTAACACAGGGGTGTAGCATTACCACCTTGGAGTGCTGTGTGTCTTTTCTGTAATTCTACATGGCAGGACATAGTCTGCTCCTTTCAGTTGTGCATTGAAATTCACGGTCACAGAAGGTAAAGTAGTGGCAGGGAAGACAGTGGAAGCAGAGGGAGATTTATAAGGAATTTGAGCAAGACTGGTTTCACCCGTCATGGTGTGCTGGGGAAATGGTGTCAGCTGATGAGGTGCAGGTACAGAGACAAAGGTGACCTGCTCCTGTTGTGACTGGCACCAAAGGAGATAGTTGCATCTTGCTCTGTGCAGAGCCTCTTCACCATCCCCTGGCTCAGGAAGAAGTGGTGTGCTCTGGCCCGGAGTTCCAGTGTGCTGGCACTCAACACCTCTTGCAATGCTCTCCTCGTGGAAGGAGCTTCTGACCCTCTGGAGGCTCTTAGGAATGAAAATGAATGTAACAAATGTCATACAGTTCAAAAAAAAATAAGAGGAAAATAAATATCAGTGTAATGTGTTCCATATCCAGTTACTTCTAGAGCAGGGTAGAGCTGTGAATATATTTTAAATGGGACATGTGTGTTAAATTTTGTTGTTCCTAGTTAAAAGTGGTAAAAAGAGGACTAAACACTATGGTGGGAATTCACCCTGTCAGTGACCACAGTTTTGTGTAGTGGAATTAGGAGTTTGTAAATCCTGTAATACCTCCTGGGTTTATCAAAGGAGAGAAGAAATTGCAGGAATTCTTTGGCCGATGTGGTGCAATCAGGTAAACCTGCATCTTCAGTTAAATTCAGTTCCTGGGGAGGAGGACAGGGCCATTGTTGAAATGATTAAATCCTGCTGTGTGTGTGAGACCACAAAAATGCCTTTACAAAATGATCCCCTTTATTTCCTCCTGCCTCCTTGTTTCTCCCTGTGAGAATCTGTCTGTTGCATTTTATCCAAACCACACTCAAAGGAAACAATAGCTCTATTGAATTTTAACTAAGCATAAGAAACTCTAAAATTTTTAATCCCATAGCAAAATGTGCCCTTTCCCTGTATAAAAATTTGTATACACTGAGCGGGAAGGTTTGTTTTGTACACAGATATTCTCTAGAGATGTTCAAGAAATGGTATTTCATAAGTTTTATTTGGTAATAAATTTTGGGCAAATTTGTAATAGCTGCTTTCCTATGGATTAAAATTTGCCATTAAATCAGAAGAACACCGCCTTATTCATAAATTGGATTCTTCTGTACTTTAAAATTATACCAGGTGTTGCATTTTCTTGTCCTTCATTGAGAAATACTGGATTGTTGTAGATTCAAGGAATAAATGTCCTTGAAAACAATTCTTGGAAAAATCAATTTAAAAAAAAAAAAGTTGTACTTAAGACTACATGATTTTTTTCAGGTGTATTCCTTGTAATGTAGTTCAGAAACTATTTTAGTAATTCATTTGATTGGGGTTGATTAGGGTAATGAACAACTCTAATGTTTTTGTACAGGATGCAGAGTGAAATGTAGAACACATCATCTGTGAGCAGCGCTTCTAGAAAATCATGCTTTGGGTTATTTGTACAAGCTGACGTTTCTTAGATCAATACTTGAGTAGGAGTACCTTGGAAAACTTCGGTTATTTTAGGAAATTAAATTGGAGAGAGAATATGCGTTTATTTTGTAGTAACACTTAATGGTTTCATGTTGAAACTGTTGCTCTTCCAAGCATTGTAGCATGAATTTGAACATCAGGAGGCTACTCACACACTGTTAAGGGTATGGTTTCCCCCTGACACCATTTAAAAATTAATTAGAAGTCAGGCAAGTGGCATCTTTCTGAAAAACCTGGTCCATCCTTGACAGTGAGTCGAATGAATTCTGTCATGTGCATAATGGCAAGGAAGCTAGTGGGAGCAGGAGGGAGGCTGCAGGCACTAGAATGCCCATCTCTTTGGGACCTCAGTTGAACCCTAGTCTTCTAAATCTTGCTATTTCTGTGCTGTCACCCAGTAGTTGGGAAATTTCTGGCCAAAATTTACCTGGCCACTGTTTTTTGTTACAGTATTAGTGTAAAGTGGTTCTCCTTGTCTTAAAGTAACTCAACCATCACTTGATTTTTCTGAGGCCAATTCTTGTGGTTTTAAAATTCCTATTTATGTATATGCAGGGTTAACTTACTGATTGTCTTCTCATGTGCAGTGTGCCAAAAAATGTAGGCTGCATGGGTTTTTTGTGGTTGTTTCCCACCCTTGTTTTTCATTGTATTTTGTCAGTGTTTGGTATGAAACTCACAAAATGTCCAAACAGCCTTGTAGCTTCATCACAGAAAGTGTGCTTTTCTCTGGCTATTTGTTAACAGTTTCTTATTTTAAACTGGTGGCGAACCATTAATGAAGCTACTTAGGTAAGACATTGCAGAAACAGTAGCTCCTGACCAATGTAATCAGTTAGGTGCTTAGAGATTAATTTATTTGGGAAATGTTTTTGCTACATTATTTGTGTGAATTGTGAAGATAGAAGGAATAATAGCTAGATTGATCTGACATAAAGACTATCTTCTACACGCAATAAAAATGAACCAGTTAAATGCTTTAATGTGAAATGCACAGTAAAAAAAGCGGTACAAATTCATTGGACCAGGATTCACTAAAAGGAAATGGACTTCACTTGACCAATAAATACAAAATTTACCAGTGCATCTTTTTCCCGTAAAAGAAGAACTGAAGAGCCTGATCTTTTTTATGCACCTGATAATGTAGTAGATTTTATTCATCACTCCAAATGCCCTTGTGGAAAGCCAGTCAGTGTTAAGCTAAAAAAATCCCCATGTATTAAATAAAACTGCACAGATAACTGGTAAAGGATAGATATTCATGGTTCCTGGTAGAAGGACACTTCTCCCAGATCCAAAGCTTGTTTCTGACCTGCCAGCACTGCTCTTTAAATAAAACTAATACAATACTTAAAAGATTTCAGGAGTAACATTCATAGCTTACTGAATAGTAAAAACTAGCTACTGTGCCCTGTTGCTGGGTTACTGTGCACTGCCAAGTATCATTACCTCATTTTTCTGTCTTTCATCCCTGATTGGCTTGAATGATCTTAATTCATCTGAGGTCAAATCTTTATGTATTTGTCTTTAAAACAGCCCATCCCCCAACAGGCTTGCAAGCAATTTTTTTGGCTTTGTGAGCAGGGTGCTCTGGTAAGAAGCAAAATTAGAAACGTTCACTCTCCTGTTGGTATTCTTGCATGTAGAAATGGTTTATGTCACTTAGTGCATATTCTGAAGAGACGTTTCTGATAGCTCTGCCTAGGTATTGCTTGTAAACATCCTGGTTTATCAGTTGGTGACCAGTTCCTTGTCCTTGAATGAAGTTACAGATCTGCTGTCAAGAAGCAAGTCCCCGTTAGCCTTAACAGAGAGCATATTGATCTTAACAGTGGTAAAGTTGTCGGGTTTTGCTGCAATCTAGATTTCTGTGGAAGTAGACAAGCGAAGTGTTTGCCTAACATTTCTAAGAGGGCTGCTCAGCCGCTGCAGCCAGCTTGCCTTGTCATTGCTTCTGTTGCCACTTCGATGTCCTGGTTTCATAAGTTCCACAGATCTACCTCACATTTTCTTTATTGCCATCTCATAGCCTACAAAAAGAGATTTACTGTAAAAAATAAAACTTCCAAAATACACTATTTTGTTTGACGCAATTTTCTGGGTAACAGAATAAGCTATGGGAAACTAATACTATAAAGTTTACTCTGGCCTTTTTTTCTGTCAGTAACAAACTTCAGCGTCACTGAAGTGTCTCCATATCTGGTCACTGAACACTTTGTACTCCTCCCTTTAGCCAGTTATCACAATGACAGCTCTTCTTTGAATGAGGAGATAAAACATTTTTGCTCATTCCTATTTCTTGAATTAGGCAACATTTTAAAACAAACAAACAAAAGCAACCACTTGACATCTGTGCAATTTTCTAGTTGTTCTGCTGGTATAATCAATGCAACAGTTTTAATTAGGGAATCTTATTTTGCATGTGATTTCTAATTAAATTAATAAACACAGGTGTATTGCTTAAGTTTTTCAGTAGTCTTCAGTTTGTTTTAGGTACTAGCATTTGCTTTTCATTCAGTTAAGGCTGTTGGAAGTAATTACAGTGAAACCCATGCTAGTTTGAATGAATAAGAGCTGAAAGTAAATCCAAGCCAGAAAGGCTGTACCATTACACAGAAGCATATGGGGGTTTTAGCCATACAGTCCTCTTCCCTGTGTGAATATTTATATCTGCAGTTCATATGTCCTGTTCCATCCATAACTGAGAAACTGCCTGGGTTAATGGAGACTGAGCTGCCATGCAGCACTGTGTTTATAATCAATGCTTTTGTTCATCTCCAGCTGCCTTGCAGAGCGACCAGCTTTTCCTGACGGGAAATGACCTGGCTTTTGTTGGATTTTTCCCTGCTGTTTCACAGCTTGAATACACCAGCCAGCCTGTTAATAAGGTCACTCATGAAGTTTTAGCTAGCAAATAATATGCTTATGAGATGTGCCTATGGCATGGATCACATAAGTTTGCAGCAGGAAGTTTTTCACTTTCTACTATGACTTCTTACAGTTTCTATAGCTTCAAGTTAAAGATCCTAGTCCTGTATCTTTCATATGCTTGCTGGCCTGAATGTGACACAAGGGAAATATAGCTAAGAAATCTTGAATAAGAACCACAGGCTGCAGGTTAGATGCAATGGCAGGGATAAAGCTTGTTTGGGCAGTGTGTGGAGCTCCGGGGCACTGCAGTGAAAGTGCAGAGAAATGTTTGCTTGAGGTGATGAAAGGTATGCATTTTTTGTACCCTGAATTCTCCCTTATAAATGCACAGCTGTATTTCCACTTGAAGTAAAAACTGAAACAAAGCTTTCTACTTGTGTTGTAGAGGTGGTAAGAGGCATCAAACCATCTGTGTCAGGTGTTAGAAATATTGCTTACAGCAGTGTGCTGCTGAGAGGCTGGCTGCTGTCTTCATCGTAGAAGGTGATACAAGAAGCTTAGTAGAACAGGACTAAAATTCAGGCAGCTTCAGGACTTTCAGCACAGTGTGTTTTTGCCTTCAAAGGCATTATCTGCTAGTATTTTTGTAGGAATCCTATGAATGGTTGCTTTAAGTGTGGGGTTGGCTGTTGGGAAATTATGCTGTATAAATGTCATTGTTGTGGTTCAGTGGTTTTCATATCAAGTTTGTTCAGTTTTCAATTAAGATGTGGATTTTTCCTAGCTCTCAGCCTTCCAAGCTTGGCTTGGCTCAAGAAATTTCATTGCAGATTAAAGTTCAAAAGGCCAAGTCTTGGTCCAGTGTGACTTTCATTCTCTGTGATACACTTTCAAACAGTTACACAGGTTGTTCCATGGATGATGCTGCAACTGGAATTCAAGAGCTCTGCTCATCAGCAAATGTACTTCTAATGAAAGCTTATACTATTTTTCTTTTAGACCAACAGTAGTAAAGAGTAAAACAAAATTAATGTTGTCAGTCAAGAGAAATTAAATGGGTTTTTGTTCTTTTTTTTTTTCCTCAATAAAATTGCATGGTTTATATGATGCTCAGATCAGATCTTTACTTCAGTCCATTGTTATCTCAGAAACAGACAACTGAAAGCTTTCATAGAGTAACAAGCATCAATAATAAAACCCAAACCAAACAGGATTTGAAGGCTTGTTTGTAGAATTTGGCAACTGTTAATGCTCTTTAAGGATGACATCTATGAAAGGTTAACCTTGTTGGATGGTGATGTGGAAGGTTAGACAAGAAAAGCGATTCTAGGACTGTGATTGTATACAGAGGCTTTCAGGCTCTTAAAATGTACCTTGCCTAAATTAATTTATACAGTGACTTAAAACACCTTATTCAGAACTAGGCCTAAAAGATTAGCGGTTATTTCAATTGGCACTCACAAGCTTAATAGAAATTTGAAGTGAGAAATTATTTCATTTGTACTATTAATGATCTTGCAAGTTCAGAATAATTTTCCTTTTCCTTGTTGATTTGCAGCTGCTGTTGGCTTTCTGGCAGTTTCCAGTGTCATAACCATGTCAGCCCCTTTCTTCATGGGCAAAGTTATTGACATTATTTATACAAATCCCAGTGAGGATTTCACTGACAGCCTGACCAGCCTGTGTGCCTTGCTGAGTGGAATCTTTTTATGTGGTGGTGCTGCTAATGCTACTCGTGTCTACCTCATGCAGACTGCAGGTAAAAACAGAAGCAAAAAGTAGTACTGAGAGTCATTATGTCTTTTACAGAGTCATGATATCCAATGATCTTAAATAAATTCTTGGCACTGGCTGAGAGGTCCTATTGGAATCAGTAGCTTTTTCTTACCAGATAAAAAGTAAACTAATAGTGTAAGGATAAGTATGCTGGAATAATTTTTCATTTTTAGTTACTGTTACGTGACATCTTAAGGATTACTCTTTTCTAGTATATTAAAACCCTGTAATGTGACTTGTTCATTCCTGTGTAATCCTGTGATTTTTATATTGTTATTGTTTATATTGTTTATATTGTCTGTGTAAAGTCTTGTGTGACATGCTTGGCTGACTTCTGTTTCTGACAGGACAAAGAATTGTGAACCGTTTGAGAGCAACCATGTTCTCCTCTATTCTGAAGCAAGAAACAGCTTTCTTTGACAAGACCAGAACAGGAGAGCTGATAAACCGCTTATCTTCAGATACAGCCCTCTTGGGCCGTTCAGTGACCGAAAACCTTTCAGATGGGCTCAGAGCAGGAGCACAAGCATCTGTTGGGGTTGCAATGATGGTATGGTGGTCTGTTCCCTGGTTGGCACTTCTTGTGGTTTCACATTGGTTTCAGTGCTGTTAGGTAACATATGAGTGTGAGTCAGTCCTAGAACAGTTGTGTGTTCTTGGACATGGGTGTATTTCACTGATTATCTAGAATAGATGCATAGATTATTGCAGTAGATGATGTGCCTGTAGCCAGTTGATGTTTACTCACAAGCAGAATTTGGAGGATGAAGGACTGAAATTAACTACTGTTGATGCCCAAAGTTATCAAGCCAAGTGTAGTAGGCAAATAGCTTAATTGCATTTTTACTGGAGGTATTAAAATCAGTGATGACATTCCCATAGTTGTAAGTAAAATAAGGTGTGAAGGGCCTGATGAAAAAGTCATTAAAGTTGGTTGATTCTAGTTAAAGTCTAGGTGAGCAAAGGCAGCACTGCATATCAAATCAGTGCTGAGGATTTTTACAAGTATTTTTAGACTTCCTGCCTTAGTCTGTCAGTAAAGAATATATTTATGAAGGAAGTGTGCTAAGGAAGGCTTCAGTGAAGTGCATTAGTGCATTCCTTGGTGCTCAGTTGGTTCACATAAAAATCTGACTTCTCTTGATGTTCTTTGTGGCATTAGTATTTTTATGTTTATCTGAGAAAAGATGCATTGGTTGCAATTATCTTTAATGAAGGTGGAGTAGTTTCTGCTGTCTACTTGGATTCAAAAACAGATAGCAAAAAGTCTCCTTGTAAAAATAAGCTTCCAATATTGACATTATTAGAAACTGTTAAGAGTTTCCACTATGAAACTTTAAAGCCTTAATATTTTGTCACTGATAAGAACTATGGCTTTTTGTATTTGTATAAGCAAAGAGAGTCTAAGGTTAAACGAAATAACTTTATATAAGACATTCTGCTCCGAAATACTGCAATGATATAGTGCTAAGAGGTGGACTATAAAAGCTTGCCCAGAAAGAAGACATTATTATGAAATAATTATAAAGCCCATCAATTATGTCAATTTTGAATTTTTCTGGAGATTTTTGTTTTCAGTACAGAAAGCAAGATGAAATTAAAACATGTTAGACCTAATTTGAGTAGATCATATGAAGAGAAACTCTTTAGGAGCTTTAATTATGATTGTTACAACTGATAAGGTTTGCAGCAGTAAATTAAATACATTGTTCCACCCATTTGTGGGTGCTAGGGAGTACTGCTGACTCCATCTGTTCCTCAGTTACACAGAAGTAGTGTATGATATTTCTCTACTCAAACTTTCTGTATTACACAATCTATTTAAAAGTTGTGAAAGCACTTTATAAACTGTATATTAGCTTCTGTCCTTCAGCATAAGCAAGAGATTTCCTGGTAGGCCTGTTTACTGGCAAGTTAAGAAACTTGACTAAGACCACACAGTGGACCAGTGAGAAAGGTAGAAATGAAATCCAGACCACTTTGCTTATAATCCTTTGTTCTAACCACGGGATACTTCCCAAATGCTGTGGAGGAATGGATGTTTTGCCTGGAAAAAATAAAACAAATGAAACCATGGCAGCACTACATTACAATTCCTAGTTTTAGAAAACTCTAGCAAGGGAAGTTGCACTTCAGTACGACAGTGATTATTTTTAATCTGATTACTAACCCCTGACACATACCTTTTTCTTCTAGTTTTTTGTGTCTCCTAGCCTTGCTGCATTTGTTCTGAGTGTTGTGCCACCCTTGGCAGTCCTGGCTGTGATTTATGGAAGATACTTGCGAAAACTTACAAAAGTGACCCAAGATTCTCTTGCAGAAGCAACACAGGTAATCTTCTAACAGATGCTTTCTAGTTAACTTCGAAGTTGCTCTAGTATATTTAGGTTAATATCTCTGAAGTTATAGATCTTCTGAAGATAATTGTACTGTTCATTGCCTTAAGCCGTGCTGAGCCTGTAGTTTTGCACCTGAATATGAAAGATAAATATCAGTAACACTTATTCATAGATCTCAAAAAAAACCACCCTTCCATTGTCCATAACAATATCATATGGAGGTACTAGGCCTTGGTAATTGGAAATGTAGGAAAGGGTGAGGAGGGTAGGCTTTAGCTTTGTGAGAGCATAAAAAAATGCTCTATTAAGCCTATTGAGTTCTGTGTAATTTGGTATCTGGGTTTGAGAAACACTTATTGGATTACAGTTATGAGTTTGAAGCCATCAGAAGCATCCTAGATGCATGCTTGCTTTGCTAGCAAATCCTTCTCTGGAGTGCCTCCCTGACATATGACCTTATTGTCATCTCTTTAATGTTTATGAGGCTTGTCATTTCTTAAATTTTTCTGGGCATCTCAGCGCATACTCAGATATCTGGGAGGAAAGTAGAGGAATCTGTTGTTTCTGAAGAGGCTGCTGTAGAGGGCCCTTCATTGTGTTTGCTTACCACACTGAAATATTCTAAAGCACTGTCAGAGAACAGTAGTGATAGTGACCTTTTCCTCAAAGGCTGAGGGTGAGCATCCATCATGAAAAAGCATAGAAATATAATTAAGAAAGATCTAGTTAAAATAGCCACAGTTGTCAGCTGATATGAACTTGGAATGTCCTTTGTAGGACTTCTCCAATTTGACTGTGCAGAAGTCAAATTGTTTGTCTTCTGTTTGTCTTCCTCATACGGTGTTGAAAGGAAGCTCATGCCTTTGTAAACCATGTGTGGGACAAGCAATGGGCAATTCAAATTCTGAGGTTGAATGGGTGATGGAAGAAGGAGAATTATTTTTTTTTATATCATAGTTTTACATACAAAAAGGGGCCTTGGTTTTTGTAAGACCATCCAAGTGTCACAACATAGTCTAATTGACTACAATAGAGGTATTTTAGAATTACTACTTTGCTGTTTAGAAGTTAAAATGAAATACTGAGTTGAAATGAGACATTAGTAGATGGGCTAAATTAATTCCCAGTGTTGCTTTGATCAAATGAGTGGAATTGTTTTAAGAAATAACTGTAGGCTGTTTTACATGCTTTAGTATAGAATAGAATATTAATATTCTTTATTTTTCCCCTCCCCACGTCATTATTGCAAATTATTGTGAATAGTAATTTCTCCCATAGGGAAATTTTTTAACCCTGCTTTTATATTTTTCTGCCTCTGCTGGCATTTAAGACAATCCTGCAGTTCTTTTTAAACTGCCTGGGCACACCGTTTACTTTTAACCTAATAGAATTGCAAAAAAAAGGGGAGCGGGGTGTGGAGAAGAAGGCATGAGACATTTTTCCATGGTATCCCAAGATATGGAGATTAGTGTAGTGATATTGATTTAACTTTGATATGTTCTGTAGTATGAACATTTCAAATTGTGTGTCTCTGTGTATCTGTTTTGTTCTTTGCTTTAATGTAGTTAGCTGAAGAGCGTATTGGAAACATAAGAACAGTTCGAGCTTTTGGGCAAGAAGTGGCTGAAATGGAGAAGTATACAAATAAAGTTGATTATGTGCTACAACTGGCTAAAAAAGAGGCACTAGTTCGGGCAGGATTCTTTGGAGCAGTAAGTATATTTTAATTAAGTAAGCCAACCATGTTATGCCAAGTGCCAATTATTTTAAAATTCATGAGGATACTTCAAAATCTGCAAATAAATGGTTGAAAATAATTTGAACCTGAATAAAACTGTGGGAAGACTGGACTTAAATCAGTCTAAATTGCTGTGAAACTGCATCTCAAGATACAGTGGTATGATAAAGTTACTTTAAGCATCTATTTCTGCCCCATACCCTTAGTGGGGACTACTTATCTGAGGCTACACCTCCTATTCAAGGAAGTAAACCTGTGGAAACCTTCCCCCACCCACTTTACAGGTTTGACTCCCTGATGAGATGAGCTTCAATGCACAAAAAGCTCGGGATTGTGCAGGTGTGGGAGGGAGGACAGGGAGGGTTGGACTGCTTTTTTCCATAACTTAATTGCTTAATTGTATTTCAAAACTGTAACATAAGTGCAGACAATCAACTCTTCTTCTTTACTGATGGTTCAGAATAACGTCCGACATTCCTTTCCATCTTGGGAATTAAAAAACAGAGTTGCTTGCTTTTTAACCACTTTTTGGATAGCACAGTGCAGTGCCAATGGATGTCTGGCTGGTTGTTGGCTGGGTTTGCTTTAGAATTGTTGAATTTAACTCAGTCCTCCAAAAGCCTAGATACCTATAGTGTGAGAGTTCTTTTTATTAGAAGGAAAATTCTGAAACAACATTTTAGAGAATGAAATTTAAAATGTATGTGACAAAATATGCCTTTTTCTCTTTTTCCTTAGACTGGTCTTTCTGGAAATTTAATTGTCCTCTCAGTCTTATACAAAGGAGGATTACTAATGGGCAATGCCTACATGACAGTTGGTGAACTCTCATCTTTCCTAATGTATGCTTTCTGGGTTGGAATAAGCATTGGAGGTATGGAATGGGAAATTAGATTTTCTTCGCTTCAAAGCATTACAGTCAGTATGGGGGCAGAAGGGAAGAAGCTCTTAAAAGATCTGGCTTTCTTAAGAGGTCTCTTCCACATGATCTTCCCAGGAAATCATGCTTTCTTTTTTCTGAAGAGTTAATGAAAATAATATTTTTTCACTTAATCTTAATGTAAACCTTCTGTTTTCCAAAAAGAATACAGAGATTATTTTTTTCAATGTGTGCATGTGACTGATACATATTACTTTAATTTTGTTTAGCTCTGAATTAAGATAAATGACATATTGTGTAAAGAAATAATACTTGTATTATATTTTTTACAAAATATGTGGGTCTGCGTTAAACATACTTTATTTAGAAAGGCACATAAAATTTAGCTGTAATTCAGTACACAGTGTCTTGAACTGGAAGAGTAAACAAAGTGCCAGCAGAACACTGCACTCTGGTGCTAACCTTCTGGTTTTCCTTACTGACTGACACCTCCTTGAAGCTCACACTCTGTAATCTACTGGCCCAGAAACAAGCTGTTCATCTTTTTGACAAAGCTGTCTTCATGGCTGCATACAGGCAAAAATGAAGATAAAGGGCCTTGAAGTTTGACAACTTACTGGAGTGTTCTTCTTTAAAATGAGCCTGTTACTTCTGATAGACAGGGAGGGCGATGGAGCTTGCCTGTATTCTTCTTTTCTAAGACTAAGCCTGGATATCATAGATGCACCTGAGGGCAAAATGTACAAAACCTGCTTCCTTGTATATAAAAATTCCAGTGGCACCCATTCCAGCTACCCAAACTGTTTCTTCTCTGCTTAGCTCATCCAAGTTTGGTAAATGGACAGATACCCAGCACTTTAAAAACATGGAACAAATTAATGTTAAATAAATGAAGGTTAGAAGCACTGCTAAAAATGTCATTGAATTAACTTTTATTTCCTATAAAAACATCTTTATAAATTCTACTAAAGATTATGGAGAATGTAGATCTGCACAGAGCTCATTCTCATGGGGACTCTGAAGCACAGGTGTCTTGCCACAAAAGGCCTGCCTTTCTTGATGCCTACAAGGCATATAAATCTTCCAAGTGCTAAGTCTGCTCAGTATATGTCACCATTAATACATATAGGAGTTCATGCAACTCCATGAGTGGTTGTGAATTTGCAAACCTCAGTGCTTGATTTTCAAGGCACCCTGTGAGGCTTATGCCTTCCCTGCTGTTCTAGGACGTAGATGCTTTGGCTCTTTTTCCCAAGCAGACAACTTGTCACCATGGCTAGTGCCTTGTGTTGCAAGCTTTCAGATAGTCCTCAGCAGCAGCATGATGAAATGCCCTGCCTACACTTATGGACCTGTGACCTTGAGCTGGACTTGTTGCTCTGCAAGCATAAACCAGTAAACCCGTTCTAATATACTCTGGGTTTTTTGCCCTGCTGAAATCACTCTCAACACTGTAAGCATTCTAAGGTGTAAGTATGTTTATTCTGTTGTAATTCAGAGATTTTGAAATTGGTGCCTTTTTGTTTTGAGAGACAGACAAAAATAAAGAAATAGGACATTTTATATTTATACCTTACTCCATTTTTAGTTCTACATCAGTTTTCTGTGTTTATTTCAGCTGGAAAGCCCTTCACCCAAGCTACCTCCAAGATGCTTCACACAGCTGCTAAGAGCTGGGACCCAGTACTATATGCAGGCCTTGTCCTTAGCTTTTGCTTTCTCCAGTAATGTTTGAAGCATACTGACGTGGGAGACTTTTTCTTTTCCATTGTCCATTGTCCACAAAGCTTCCCAAGTGCCAGTTCAGCCTGCAGTTTCATGCCGTCTCTGCTCTGTGGTTGACTCAGCGAGGCTCCCCTGTAGTAGCATAAACCTGTCTGACAAAGAAGGGTATTCAGAATGCTCCATTCTACTGCACGATTTGGAACATATGGCTGGTTGGATGCAAAGCTATTTCCCAAAGCTGGATGCTGTTCCTCCTGACAGATGACTGAAAAAGAGCATACACATGATGCTAAGTGTATTAACATTTTCTTCAGAAATATTTGTTTTACAGATATAAATAAGAATGGTGAATGAGGGTTATTGGTAGCTCTCAAATGAGACTAGATAAGATCTAAATCAATGTTTGACAGTCTTTTGGAATAAAAGATCCCCTACACATCTGATCCTTCAATGCTGCTGATGAAAAGTATAATGATAATTTTATCTCTCCTATGTCTTCCATTCCATATGGATGCATAATACTGTACTGTTTTTTGTTTAGGTCTAAGTTCCTTTTATTCTGAGCTAATGAAAGGACTAGGTGCTGGTGGACGTCTTTGGGAACTTATTGAAAGGAAGCCCCAACTTCCATTTGATGGTGGGTTCTTGGTTTGTTACTCTTCATAGGTTGATTTTTCTCTTATGGGTCAGGAGTACTTCAGAAGGGGGTGCACAATACTTAAAGTTGGTACTAACTTACATTCTTTTGAAAGAAACTAGATACAAGGGTAACTCTTCTGACTTTTCATAAGTATGAAACAGATGATGAAAGTTTCCTTTAATCAAAAATTTTAGAAGCCAAAAATTTAGCTTAATTACTTTTGACTTAATTTTTCTTTAGTTAATTCAGAATATTATTTTAAACTTATTACTTTGAAAGATATGTGATTGGGGACGTGCTGATTTCTAGCTTTTTGGAATATTTTTTGATGTCATCACCACTTCCTCTTGGATCAGCTTTAGAGTGAAAAGACTGGAAGGAAGCAAAAAGAGAGGAGGGAGGAGCTCTGAGATGGCCGTGTCTCATATTTCCACTGAAAGGCTTACTGTGCTCATCTCTAATGGCTAAGAAATGACCAATCTGAAAAGAGAAGCTTTCGAAACCAGGTGGTTTTCATTAAGAGTATTTCAAGCTTAAACGTTTCATACTGATCCAGTGAAAACAGATCCTTAATGAAACGTGTTGATTTGAAACCTAAATTGCAAACACAGACAGTTTGAGGTGTTTCAGCGACATCTGCCAAACTGAATTTTCAAATTCTTCTGCCATAGGAATGAAGGCATGATTGGGGAATAAAAGGAAGGAAAGGAGGAAGGCTGATATGGGAATCCTGCTTCTTGGGAGAGTGTGGATGTGCAGCTACAGCAGGCGTTGCTTTTGGAATGTTATGCACCTCCTTCCTCACAGTAGTACTACCCACATTTCTCCCTTACTTCGAGGGGCAATGTCTTGTTTTCACAGAACACTGGCTGTCGCTGGTGACAACAAATATCTCAGCAACAAATTATAATGTCTCTTTTTCCTGCATCTAGAATCCAAACATGAAGCACGTATATGGCTTTTAGATATTTCTACAGTAATATATAGAGGAAAGAGTTGTGGTAGCAGACTTCCTATATTGTGGTAGATTTCAGTGTTTCAGGCCACGGAATAGACTGTGCAATAACTGGAAATGAGACTTAAGATAAGCAACTACTTGTTACTGTGGTAATAATAAGGATTATGCTGCTAGCACAGGATTTAGCAAATACATTTCTTTTCCCAAAATGAGGTTTACAAATCATTGTGTAAACAATAGGGTTACAGTGTGTATGTCCATAGGTTAAAGTCAAGGAAGGAATCTGGAATTGTATGCTCTTGCCCTTGCCATTTCAATGATACTACCATTAAAATGAAAACTTGGAGAAGAAATGGGAATCTGGGGGGGAAAAAAAAGCAAAATAAATTATCTGCTCTAGAAACAGCGGAACTAGTGAAATCTTGATTGCTGCTGGTGGGTGTTTGTGTTCCTATCCACAGTTACTGTTTAACCAAACATGGGCACGTGCTGCCATGTGCCCTGGTTAGTTGGGGGTTACTTGTGTGCTGTGTCTGAAAAGAATTAAGGGGTTTGAGTTGCATGTCTCTAGCATGAGCAAACATGATTCTGGTGTTGCTCTAGTCTGCCAGTTTTCACAAAACTGGTAGGAACTTCGTCAGTGCAACTCAGTCCTTTGGGATTGCAGCACCACTGTTCAATTAGTTTGCTGTGTATGGATATGTATCACTGGGATTTAACAGAGCTTGGAGAAATTGTGTCTTTGTCTTACCTATTTATAAGCTTCTTTTAGTAATTATATTCTTTTAAGATAATTGTTTCAATCAAATGGTGTGCTCCAGAAAGAAGCTGGTTTTATTTAACTTTGGCAGTCTTGTTCATTCATGGTGGATTGTTACAGTATTTCACAAACTGAAATTTTTATTTCAGTGACCTGTAGCCTAAGAGTCAGGCCTCTGACTGGCATTTGAATACACTGCTGTCCTGAATTTATTAAATGTACTTTCCACTTAAGAGAAAAAATAAAACTAAAAAAAAGGCTGTTAGTGCAACAAACCTAGCAGCACTTTATTCCAGTGACAGCCTCTGCTTAAAAGCTACCCAGTTAAGAGGTAGTGGAGAAGGAACTGCTCTTATTCAAAGAGGAGAGTGTTTCAGGTGAGTTTTGTGGCTTGGTGAAAGGGCAATAAGTAATTTGCAATGTTTATCTTTTTGTGTTCTATGGTAACAGGACTTTGGCCTTCACCAATGCCATTTATTTAATTGCTCTTAATTGACAAAGCATAAATTGTTTATAATATGTTTAAAAATTCAGATAATTCTAGGAGAGGTTATTGTTGTTAGGTATTGCAAGACGCAAATTCTCATCTTGCTGTAGGCAGCCTACAACTTCAGTGGTGGTGAGCAACCTGAAATTGTATTCAGGTACAAGTGGTGTACCACACTGATTCACTTACAGCTGAAATATAACCCCCGTGGTCCTGAATTGTGGCTTGCAGCTACTCATACTTTGAAAGCGTCTGTAAAGCAAGTTCTAGGAGAGCTGAGCTAATTGTTTTTCTGTTCACGTTTCTGTATTTTATTCTTTGTCATATAGAGGGAATCACTTTAGGCAAAGACACATTCAGAGGTGCTTTGGAATTCAAAGATGTTGAGTTTGCATATCCAACACGTCCAGAAACATCAATTTTCAAAGATTTTAGCCTTTCCATTCCAGCTGGCTCTGTTATGGCTCTGGTTGGCCCAAGTGGTACAGGGAAATCAACTATTGTATCCCTTCTGCTGCGGCTGTATGATCCTATCTCAGGTATGTTTTGTGTGTTGCTCTCATTTGTGACAATTAATGCCTTGCATGTCAAATACACCTTAAACAGTTGGGGTTCCTGTGCTTGAGGCCCATGTTTCCCCTTGGGGTGTATGGTTTCCCTGTGGTGGTGCCTGTGTAGCTGTACTGATCCACCAGTGCAGCATTTGATTCTTCACAGGTCATCATTCTCAACTGTTCTTTGTCTCTTTTCACAATGTGTCAAACACACTTCACTTTACTGTTTCTTAATTTAAGGTACTATCACCGTTGATGGCTGTGATATCCGCCAGTTAAATCCACTGTGGCTCAGGACAAAGATTGGAACAGTAAGTCAGGTAAGGAAGAAATAAAAAATTCCAAGTGGCTGAAATAATTTTGTGTGATCAGCTAGCTTTACTTCACTTTTCTTCTTTCTAAAACTATATAATATTGCTTCCCAGTGAAATCCCTCCATCTCACCATAACTGCTGTTGCACATGCTTTGTTCTAAAAAGAATATTTAGAGCTAGTCCCATTATTCTGTAGTCTGTTTTTACATAATCATAGAGGTTCAAAATGTTAGCTCAGGAGAAAAGTGCACATGGAGACTGGAAAGTATATTGCTATAAATTGTATGGGTATGACCATCGTGATGTTTGCTATAATTTGTTGAAGAAAGTAACACAAAGCTTAACACTTAATTGCCTTTCATATGAATGGAAGCCACAAAACCATATTTTTACACAACCATTTCAAAAACCTGACCTTCTATGTTCTGTGTTATTTCCAAGAAAACACAATTCCATTAGGAAAGCATGAAAATACAGCACAGTTGGCATGTGCTCTTACAGTGCCACCCCCCCAAACAACCTCCAAATTCTGGAATTACAGAGAGATGTTCAATGGTGTCTTAAAAATAAACTATTTGACCAATTAAAATGTTCATTCCCTTGTCTCCCCAGATGCTTCACAGTGCAATTAACTGTTAGGCTGATGATCTGTTTACAAGCATATGGGTATCTGGATATTTGTTGCATTTCAAAACAACTTCTTTATGTAATAATGCCACCAAAAGCTTTTGTGCAAATATTATTTTCCCGTTTGCACATTAGCACATTCTTTTTGACTTAATATATTCCATTTGAACTACCAGTAGGAGATTCATACTGGTATTCACACTATGTATGTCTCTACTCAGACTTACCTTATTTCAGATGTTTTCCCAATGTACATCACTTGTCCTATCTCACAGTTCTTTGTTGCAAGCTTTAATATTAATTAAATGCACAAAATGCCATCAAATCTGTGTAGAGATTCAGAGAAGAATCATCACTGATGCAAATCATAGAACAGTTTGTGTTGGAACGGACCTCTAAATGTCATCTAATCCAACCCCCTTACACTGAGCAGGGACACCTTCAACTGGATCAGGTTGCTCAGAGCCCCATCCAGCCTGACCTTGAATGTTTCCAGGGATGGGGCATCAACCACCTCTCTGGGCAACCTATTCCAGTGTTTTACCACACCCACTGTAAAAAGTATCTTCCTTATATCTAATCCAAACCAACCCTCCTTTAGTTTAAAACCATCACCCCTTGTCCTATCACAACAGGCCCTCCTAAAAAGTCTGTCCCGGTCTTTCTCATAGCCCCCCCCTTTACGTACTGAAACGCCACAATCTGGTTTCCCTGGAGCCTTCTCTTCTCCAGGCTGAACATCCCCAACTCTCTCAGCCTTTCCTCACAGAAGAGGTGCTCCATCCCTCCCATGATGATGATATGTAGCAAATTACAAAAGGAAGGTTTTCTAATGTTTGAATGTATGGCTCATTCTAAACTCTTTCTAAAATATTAGGAATTGAGTTGTTTTGTCAGTTAAAAAAGCAACTTACTTTTTAATTGGTTTTCACTGCTCATGTTGATGTTATGAAAGGGGGGGTTTTATTTGTTTTTAATTCATATAACTCTAGCTTACGTATTCTTTGTATGAATATTGTGAGTTCTTGTAAGTGGGATTTATGTTACTTGAGATACAGATAATACATGTATATAATTACAGATCTACCATATTAGTTCTGTGTTTGAACTTTTCAGGAACCAATTCTCTTCTCCTGTTCTATTGCTGAAAATATTGCCTATGGTGCAGAGGATCCTTCCACTGTGACTGCAGAGGAGATTCAGAAAGTTGCTGAAATAGCTAATGCTGCTAGTTTTATCAGAGGTTTTCCAAAAGGGTTTGACACTGTAGTTGGAGAAAAAGGCATTTTGCTTTCAGGTGTGTCTTTATGTTGCTTATTTTAAAAATCTTGATGCTATAACGTGAAGTAAAAATTCTGTTATTTTTTGTTACCACTTTTTTCTCCAAGTCATAACCTGCCATGAGTGTTAAAAGAATCCCCTCTTCATTCCCATTCCCCCCTTAAAGTACATGGGCCTAATTCTGCTGAGCCCAGTATTCAGTTAAAATTTCTTACGTGTGTTTTCCTATTTCAATGAACGGATCTTTTCCCCTAGGTGGACAGAAGCAACGAATTGCAATTGCTCGAGCTCTGCTCAAGGTAAGCCAGCACCCAAACAACTATTTAACTACTTTTTGGGCAGAGGCAGGAAGCATTAAAAAAGAGGAGGTCTTTCAATGGGAGACGTAGAAAAATATTTTTAAAAAGAAAATTGTATCTTTTTTATTAATGAAATTGGAAAAGGCTGAGTGGCTTAAAAGACAACATACTTCAGTGCTTCTTCCTATCTTTCAGTCATGTGTTTTGATAGTTCTTGCCAAGACTGATGTTCAATCACTGTATAATGGCTCACTTTTATAAGGATGAAGGAAGGCTTTAAGAATGTGGTACTGGTAAACTCAAATATGATGCTTCTGTGTTCAGATCTCTATCATTCATGGGTTAATTTTCCTGGGTGGCAGTTTACTTGTACTTTAGATGCCTTGTCTTAGCTTTGAGGGGAAGTGGCCTGGATTTGGGACAAGATAATATTTCAGGCACAATGTTGTGACACTTTTTTTCTTCAAAGATTGATAAAGATCTAGCTTTAGGGCAGGCTCTGTGCTGCACAAATTTGAGAGGCTTCTGAGGATGAGAAGGACAGGGAGCTTGCAGGGAGGCAGTTTGGTGCTGATGCTCAACTGGAAGTTTTGATCCTTGCTGAACTCAGTTTACATTCATGCTAGGCCACACAGGTCTCCATACCATCCTAGCATGCCCAGTTCTAATAGATTAATAGGAATTTCACTATACCAGTTCTCTTTTACCACAAATGTTGAAAAGTAGACTGTATTTCAGGTCATGCATTTTATACAGTTCATGGGATTAGAGACTTTATTTCATGGGGAAAAAAAGGCTGTAAAAATAAATTAGTAGATATACTGGGGTAGTTGGGGGTGCAGTAGAGTTCCTTCTCTCCCAGATAAAGTATAAAGCTTTTACTCTCAACTTTATCAGGGAAGTTTGGGTTATGTACTGTAATTCAGAAGTGAATTCTTCTAAGGGATTTGAGTGCTGGCAGTTTGGTTTTTTTAAAAAAAATCACTTATTTGGGAAGAGTTCTTAAATGCTAGTTCATAACTACTATGTATTTTATCTGTGGGTGAAATACTGCTTGTTGGTAGGGTTTTGTTAACTTTTTGTTACCAGTTTTATATATCAGACTGACTGCAAGCAGAGTGTAGCTGAGCCTCTGTGAAAGGAAACTGAACTTTTGACCACAGTGCTGCCAAGTATGCATTAAAAATCATCTCACGCCTTTAGTTTGTATCTTTCAAATAGTTACCTAGGAATAGTATTCTATTGGAAAATTTGAAGTTGAAAGAGTGTTGTTTCTGATTTGTCTTCTTAGCATTTAGATTTCTTAAAAGTAATGCTTTCAATTCTTTTGATGAAGTAAGTACTCTTACTTGGAGTTTTAAGCTATATGAATCCTGTTCTTTATGATATAAATATTCATATCTTGTTTAATTATTATAACCAATTTTACTTTCTTCTTCAGAATCCTAAAATTCTTCTGTTAGATGAAGCAACAAGGTAAGAAAGAAAAGAAATAGAAACTTAGAAATTATGTACCTGTAAAATTCAGATTTGGGACCCTTTCTTTCTCTGCATGCCCTTGCACAAACTCTCTAGCCCCCTTATTGTTCTCTACCCAAAAAAAAGAATGTGCCTTCTAGAATGTGTGACTTGATTAGGAGACCTATGATGAAAGCTGTTTATGCAAAGTGTAAGGGATAGCTGGTAAATTTGTAATATGTAACTTGATTTTGAAACTCTCCTTAAAGCTTTTTTGTATCTTTAATTTAAATTTAGATCTTAGTGTAAAAGAGATATAATTATTCTGCAGTACAACTGTTTTTTTCCCACTGAATCAATTTAGTGTTATTTCTCCATGCTTATTTTTGCATGTGAGAATTGTAATGCCTATAACTTGGATGTGAGCACTAAGCAAATTCACGAAACTTCCCTGCAGTTCCAGTAGTTCATCTTCACTAGCAATAGAGAGGGTTTGCAATTTTGGTAAAATAAGCCTAATACCGACAAAACTAACCTGTCTTAAAATAACAGATATCCTCCTCTGTCATGTCCCCACCCCATTTCTTACTAGTGCTTTGGATGCTGAAAATGAATATCTAGTGCAAGAAGCTCTGGACCGCCTGATGGAAGGGAGGACAGTCCTAATTATTGCTCATCGTCTGTCTACTATTCAAAATGCTGATTTTGTTGCAGTCCTTGGCCAGGGTAAAATTCTTGAATGCGGAAAACATGAGGAACTACTTGCAAATCCAAATGGACTTTTCAGGAAACTAATGCAGAAACAAGCTTTTCTTCAGAACAGTGATACTTTTGCATTAGATTTACAATCCAGAGAAAAGAATATATTAAAAGAAAATGTATGAGAAGATGTATGAGTAATGGAAGCTTACAAACTACAAAGACTATAACTTATGTTTCAGTTATGTAAAGTAAATGTTATATTTTTCCAAAATGTACAAAATATTCTTTTGAAACTTAAATGTGTTTAAACTTTTTATTGAAAGCTTTTTAATAATTATTGCAACTTTTAAAAATGTTTATCACATTGAGATAATTTCAGTGTATAGATTCTTCTACTTTGTGTTACACTGAGAACATTTAGAATCTTATTTGCTGTACTGCACTGTATGATTATGTGCTCCATTCTCAAGTAAGTTCAGTATTTTAAAGATAATTAAATGAGAAATACTATAATTTTCATATCATTCTCTCTCTCTTTTCAAGGAACTTTTGTATTTTGTGCTTGTCAGTAGTCTTACAATGCTGGAATTCAAAAATGCATGACACTAATGGACTCTGTAAGTTCTGTCTGACTTCCACTGCACTGTCTTTCCAGTTACCATTTGTTCTGAACTTGATTATCATCCCCCTCTACACTTACTGTAAAGAATTATATACAAAAACACATTTTAGAAAGTATGAAAGCATGAGTTGGAGGAAAGTTCTTTAAAAAACCAAGCCCAACAAAAAAAGACAACCAAACAAAAAACCTGACTTTACATAAAGACAAAGGAAGTATATTAGTATATGAAGTCAGCATAGAAAAATCTAAAATTTGGTATGCATTTTCTTCTCTTCTCTATTTTCCCATTTCTTTAGTTTCACTTGCTTTCTAAGAAGACATTCAAAATAACATGCCCTTACAAATGTATGTTTTTGTCCTTTTTTAAGGCATATGTCAGTTTTCTATACTTAATTTAATTTTCAGTCATAGAAATCATGAGTTTTGCCTAACTACTTTTTAAAGAACAACTAGTAAACTACCTTCTCAAGGACAACTGGTAAAATAGGAGGATTACATTAATTTAAATAACTGCAGGAGGATACATTTGGCAGTGAAGAATTGGCTTTATGATTCTAATTTAAGAATCTCTTTCAGTATAATCCCTGAAGATGCAAAACCCCACAAGGTGATTTTAAAATCCACCAGTTAAGTCTCTAACCCTTATCAGCATAAACTATTTCTGTGTTGAAAATGAGATTTAAATGTTGAGTTGTATCCTCCCTCCTGAAGATGGAGATATTAACACAGGGCTGGGACAACAGAAAGAAGCCGAGTAATTCCCTGATTAAGTGTAGCTATGTGGAGACAGGAGTCAATCAGCAAAAAATGACTGTTCAAGCTACATTGCCTTAAATATTTTAGTGACAACATATGAAGGGTTTTTAAAATAATTTGAATGTCACTATTCATTGATATTGGGAAGTGTGGATGTCAGCTTGAATTTTATTCAGGTTTTTCCCTGTATGCTTGTTTATGTGTGCAGTTCCTGATTTGGTTTGTTTTTCTCAATGAAGTGACAGAAGCACGATGATTTAGCATCATCTGTATAGAGAAGGCTATACAGAAGGATCCTACATTCATGTCATAGTATAGTGAAGCTCCACTAGATCTTCGTATTTTGCTTTTCCCATAAAATCAAAGCAAAAGGAGATGACTTTAATTAAAAAGGCAAAGCACTTAAACTGACAGGTACCTCATACTTCAGTCGTGCCACATTAACCATCTCAAGTTTATCTGCTCTGCATTTTGGGTTCTGTCATATTGGACCACATCCCACACAGAAAACCTAACAGACCTGACTCTTTAATCAAAGAACATGTTTTTGGAAAATTATAGGAAATTTTTGAATATGCTATTTTTGGTTAATTTTATTGTTAACTAATTAGCTTTATTGATACTATACATGCAACTCAACTTCTTCCCCAAGTGGATGGTACCTACCTACCTTCTGAAAGCTCTTTTTCATACAAGCCAATGCCGCTGAGTATTTTCTTTCAGTAAGGAAAATTTAGTTCCCCTTGAATGCTAAAATCTTATTTCTATACCATTGAATAGTTGTAGCGCGTGATTGTTATTTACCACAGATATGACACATACCACCTTTCCACGCTCCAGCTGGTTAGTGCCAGCTAACCGTGTGAGTTCAGTGAGACACAGCACCTAAATCCAGCCTTGGGAATCCTGCTCCCATGGGAGCAGCCCGACGGGTGCTGCGGGATTTCCACGGCTCCCCGGCAGGGGCCGCGCTCGGCTCCTCCCAGCGCTTCCCGCTCCGCTCCTCCCTCCCGTCCCCGCCCCGCGGTGACGCGCTCAGCCGGCGCCCGGCGGGAGTACGGGCCCGGCGCCACTCCCGCATCCCCAGCCATGTTCCCGTCGGCTCCCGCCTCGCCGCGGACCCCCGGCGGGTCAGCCCGCAGGACGCTGGGCAGCGCCGCCCCCAGCCCTCTGTCCCGGCCGGGCGGCAGGAAGAACATGCCCGTCGTGGCGGCCGCCGCCTCCCCGGTGCTGTTCTCGCCGGCGGCGCGGAGGAGCGGCTCCCTCTCGGCGCGGTGAGTCCTGCCCCGCGCCTGGCAGACCCTGCCCCGGTGCTGGATGCTCGAGGCACTGGAGGTTGCAACGCTGCTGTTTCGCGAACGCGGGTTTACCGTTTTTGGGTTTTGGTTTTTTGGGGGGAATGTACTCTGAGATAATCTGTATCCGTGATTACCCATAAGTCTCTTTCCAATAGTGTGTTGTTTGGTCTTTTTTGTTTGCGGTGTCCTTTTGAAAAGTGTGCGTGCTAGGTCATTCGAGTACGCAAGAAGCTCTGTGTGGAGTCGTCATGATGATGTTTTATGTTTTGCCTTTTGTTCCGTGTTAGTAACTCAGAAGTTCTGTTTGCTGTTTATCCTAAATAACACTGTACTGTCAAGACACTGTCACTCTGGAAGTTGGTTTCGTTGAAGATACTGCTGAAGATTTTAGACATCAGTATGGATTTATACAATGGAACCTTTCCTCTAGTGTATAAATTAGCCGTTCTTTATTATTTTTGCTTATTGCTTTCTTTTATACAGCGTTTGTTCTACAGTAAGACTTTTCTTATTATCTCCCAGCTGGATTTATTTAGAAATCTTTGATCAGGGATATTTTTGAAACGTTTTTGGCAACTTAAGTACTTAGTATTTTCGGTTTCGTATTAAATGAATTTGTTTTTCCAGAAAATTCTGATAAAACTGTTAGGCATGATTTTTTTGTGTAACAAGGAAAGCAAAACAAAACCTATGAGAGTTACTAAACTACACTTACTCTTTTTTGCTCACTTTCCTGCTGGAGCAGTAAGACTTTCTTGGTCTATGGTTTCCTGAGTGTTCTCAGATTCTTTGTAGGATATATGTTATATTCTGTTCTCATGATAACAAATTCTGACGAAACATTTCATAGTTGAATGGTTTCAAGGTTTTTTAAAAGTAGTATTGTACATTAAAACTATAAATACAGGGTACTGCATGTTCAGCGTTATAAATTATCTCTTATTAGCTTTTGAATTGGAGAGTGCCTCAAATGTATCCCTGTATGAAACATGTGTGATATATGAAAATAATAGGAACCTCTGCATTTAAAAAGAGGATAAAATAGTCAAAGTTTAGGCATTTCACACCCACCCAACCTACCCTTCCCTTCCTCCCCCCTGCACCCTGCTCCCAGCTTCCTCTCTTCTCTCTTCCATATAAATCAAAACTGAGAAACAACATGAGCCTCAGATCAATTTCAGAGGGATTCAGAAGCTCTTTTCTCAGGAGCATCTATTTGTTGTTGAGATAAACAAGATGGTCTGTTTTCAGTTTTTGGAGCTTTTACTTCAGGTCTGTTTAATAATTTTTGCAAACTGGATTTCAGGCTTGTCTTTAGCTGTATATCATCATCTCTTACCATTTCACACTGGGAGGCCTGTGACAGCATTTCACTTGTGAGAAGAAATAAAACGAGGGTGTTTTTCTAAAAGCAGAGAAATTTGCTCATTTAATCATGTTCAAAAGACAAGACAGGCCTATGCTGTTCTGGAGAGAAAAGGTGGGGAAAGATGCAAAGTAGCTTTTATAAATTATGTTATGAAACAGATAAGAATTGCACTCTCCACACTAAAATAAAGGCAGTAGAAGTGCAGTCTGATCCAGGCTACCATGAGTGTTTAAAGTATTGCACAGTGCAACAACTGTTGCCCAGCAGTGTCAGAATTAGGGATGGAAGTAGGCCTTGCAGTCAGAGAAGAACTTCTATTAAGCTTCTCCTGACATTGTGGATAGCTTTATAGTACAGATAACCAGAATGTAGAGAAGTTGAACAGTGATTCTGTTGTTGGTTTGCTTGCATATTCAGTGTCAATTCTTTAAAAATAAAGAATTTGATGACAGTTAGCAACTTGTAAGGAGGCCACCAAATTACTGCTTTAGATGGTGCTCTCAGAGGGAGCATGTTTATTTTACATAAATCTATTTCTAAACAGATACTGATGAAGTAAATGTCTGCTGAAGCTGATGAAGAAAGAATAGAAAGCTAACTGTGACTTTTTGTTTTGTTGTAGAGCAACTCCTACCAGAGTTATCCAGCTTCCTACAGCAACTGAGACTATTAATTACGATGTTCAGGCTTTTGGATCCTCTCTGCCTGTTAAGGTTATGGAAGCCCTGAAGAAGGCTGATGGTAAGAATTTATTTTATCTTTTGGTTTTTTTAGGAAAATTGATAGGTGAGGGAAGTGTTAACATGCTGTTGATGCCATTTAAATCCCGACTTTACAGTGGAAACAGAAATGTCTGTGCCTTGCTTTAAATCTGTGTTGGTTAAGTAACAATAGTTGTAATAGCACCCATGTGGGTGTGAATGCATGGAAATATCTTTCAGGTGCTGTCTTAACCAATATATTGTGAAATGCAAGGTTGTAAAGAAAGCTAATAGTAGGTTTTTAGATAGATAGGAGGAACCAAATATGTATCTTAAAAATCATCTTAAAAATTGCTGAGTGATTTACGAAGCTATTATAATCTGCTCTAAATTGATGGAAATAGCTTCTAGGATTGTCTTGCTTTTCAGTCTCAAAAGCTGAGTGTTTGTCAAATGGATTTTTAAACTACATGTAGTAATTTGATATCTTAATCAAATAGATGTAAATTCTTATATGGAAACTAATTTAATATAAAATATTTCTTATTTTCTAATGAGAAAGAAATTTTACTACTTTAAAGATTGCTCTGCAGTGTTTTAAAAATCTGAATGTTTTAAAAAAATTACTTTTTTGTGTAGCTGATGACCAGCTGAGTGTTCAGGTGGATGAAAGTGGATGGGCCTGGCTAGTCCATAAAGAGAGGCTGATTATTTGGAAGATTGGTCAGTCTGCAGTAGCTAAGGTAACTGAAAGGTGAAAATGGAAGTCTGTATTT